ATGGCACTAGAAGAGCTATAAAACTTAATAGCCCAAGTGTAGGAGGTTGGTGCCATTCTCTCTGATCAGTGCATCCCTTCCATCAAATGGCACCTTCTGCAGCAAAGCAGGCCCCACACTGATAGAAAAACAGGAGGCAGAGGGAAAACAAGGCTGAATTATGAGTGATATAGATGAGCAGATCTGTTTTCAGGTCATTCAAACTGAATAAAAAAGAGGATTTTGTCACTCTTGTGTATTTAAGACCTACACACCACAGGCCACGTTTTAACAACAGGGCCAGAGCATGACACAAAGGGGACATGGTGCTTAAAAATGCACCAGTTGTTCTGCCAGGGGCCTGGCAGCCAGCTGACCCTGAGCAGGGCAGCTTGGGCTGGGGGCTGATAAGGCAGCAGGAGGGTGGAAAAGAGCCTGTCCCAGCTGCAGAACTGCAGACAAAGCATCAGGTGCGAGACCAAGGCAGAGCACCACTAACAAGGCCTGGAACAGGAGCTTGCTCGGGGCAGCAGTGCAAAGCCTGCAGGGTGCCCGTGCCAGGAGGAGGAGGAGGATGCTGAACGTAGTCATTGCGAACACAACATTTGTGCAGCACAGTGCCCGTGTGAGCACAGCAAGACGGGAACTGGTGCTCATAGCACTGCTAGCTTTTAAGGGGTTTTTAATGGGAAACAGTGCCTGATAAAGGCATCATCTTTTCTGGCATGTCATGACAGGAAATTTGCTACAGGCAGCCAGCTTTGCAAGGCATGCAAAACGTAATAGCAGTTTGGCTTAATTTTTCTGGAAGTACGGGAAAGACAATTTGTCAAGATTTTCATCTCCATCATCCTTGAAAAGGCCTAGTTAGACAGCATGAGCGTTGTGTGAGGCTGTGGCCAATTCTGATTTCATAAGTAGGGGCACTGGGAGAAGCTGTGCCAGGCATGGCCCTGTAGCTGGACAGCACTGGTAGACACAGCGGAGCCACATAGGGAGGATAAAGCTTTGCAAGGAGCAGTTCCCAGCTTCAGGAATCTAATTTTGTTCATCAGGACCTCCTCAGCAGCAATCTGATTTGCAGTCTGAGGGAAGATTGGAAAAAAAAACACAACAACAACCACCACCTAAAGCATTATATGGAATGGGCAAAAAACACTGAGCAATAAAAACAGGAAAAAACATTCAAAAGCTATATTAAACAGCAGGAGCCAAGGGAGAACAGAAGGAGGAGTTTAATAAGAAAGGTAACAGGCTAGCTCCACTGAGCAAATGCTGGTTAACAGAAATAATTTCTGCAGGATTTAAAAAGGCACTGAACTGGTTGGGGCAGAAATAAAGAGCCAAGTGCTCTCAGACAACAGTCAAGTGGCTTTACTGACTTCAAAAATTCAGTTGGACTGAAAGCTTTTCACTAAAGAAGCCATAGCAAACGCATGCAAATTGCTAAGAGCAAAAGTTACAAGACTACACACTTGGGGAGCCACCCTCTGCTGCTGCTAATACACGTGTCTCTGGATTCAGGCAGCAAGTTCAAATGCCAGCACCAACAGGCAGCAGGAAGGCGTACAGGAGCACCCAGATGCTTCAAGTGCCTCACATTTAACCTGTTCATTTCCTTCTAGACATAAAGAAGCAATTATGAAACCCATCAACCCATCCCACTTGGGTTCATCCTCACATGATGGTGGCAAAGAATACTTTTCATTGGCAAATGAAAAACACAATCTGCCAAAGACCCTGTTTTGAAGACCCATCGCTTAAAAAAAAAAAAAAAAAGCCAAAAAACCAACCTTTGGCACAGTATTGGCCCCAGTGTGACATAGCTCAGCACCCTTGCTGTCAATGCCCACGCACCCATCACAGTTCCTAATGAGCTCTGCTACCAGGCGCACATGAAACCAGTGAACAAAAGGCACAGCTTGAGAAGAAATGCTCCAGCAAACTTCAGAGTGTTTAGGAATGCTGGATAAATACTGTCTGTATCAAGGGTAGAGGAGTTTTGTAGGGCTACTGGCAATGACTGCAGTTCCTCAGACAACTCCCTGCTTGGTGCTATTGTATATGCTCACTCCAGAAGGCCCTCACATCTAACACATCTGCAGCAGGGAAGGGAAAACAGAGCAGCAAAGTTCGTTATACCTTCCCAGAAAAAGTGGGCTTGAGGATCACAAGGGAGCTGTGAGAGAATATTGATCAGCATGACAGTATTCACATCTATCTCAGCAGCATAATGATGTCAGCGTGTAGGCATCGCAGTAAAGAGGGCCCTGAAGGTCAGATTTGCAGGAGGCCCCTGAGACAGCCACATGATTGGTCATGGGGTTCCTTCCACTGTGTGAGAGCAAAGGCTTTAAGCTGCATTTTAAACAAGGAAGAAGCTGCAGCTATTGCACAAGCTGAGCAGAAGCAGCAGAGCCAGGCTGAGTTCAGATGGTAGGACAGCCCACCACAACACAATTGCCAGCCATCACAGGTGAAATGAGGGGGGCAAACAGAACCTGCAAGACTTGGTACCAGGAATGTCTCTTAGTGTGAGTATAGAAAGTTTGCACTGCTGTTCCCCTGCAGAAGCCCAAGAATACACATGAATATAAAAGCCTAGGATGTTTTAGCACAACGCTTCAGTTTCAGATTTTGTGATATCAAAACTGTCTACTAGAACCATCCACAAACCATAAGGTAGCACCAGCAGAAAAACAAGGCAGCCATTCCTAGGCTGAAGCTCATGTCAGTGAGTAAAACAATCGCCTACAGTCTTTCCACCAAGCATCACACACCTCCAGCTCCAATCTGATAGCTGCCCCACACTTGGGCTGGAGGCTCCAGGAGAAAGCATGGAAGCTTGGCCCCATTATTGCCTGCAGGTGGGACAATGCCTAGGAGAGGGTTGCCTTCACTTCTGCAGGAAGCCAGCTCCCACATTTAGTTAAGATCTCTCTTCAATCACTTCACTGAGTATGAAAGCAACACTTGCTCTTGTAATAAAGCCTGCCACCTGCTTTTCAAGTTCAAACTTAATGAGCTTTCCTGAGAAAATAACTGCCAGCTATTGTACGGCTACTGCTGGAGCTCTAGAGAACTAGCTCAACACAAAGGACAATGCACCACATTCCTCCTGAACCACCACTTCAAATAAAGCCCGTGTTTTGAAACACAGCACTACAGCAGCAACTGGCTGGTTTTGTAAAGTCACAGGCTGAGAGTCATCCCATCATCTTCTAAGAACATTTCTTTGTTGGATTTTTTCCCACAGAAATGCTCGAAGAAGTCATCAGATTATTCAGTTGGTTCTGACTTATTCAGCAGAGGAGCATCTCACCAAGCTCATCAACTGAACGCCCAAGGGCAGGCAGCTCAGCTTCTGCTGGGGAGTCATGCCCAGCGAAGAGCCCACATTTTCTGAACTTCCATCTTTTTACTGCTCGTTGTTGCCTCAAGTCTCACGCCACAGAGCAACCTCAGCTGTTCTGTTCCAAGCATATTTTTTACTACTTATTCCATCAATTCTTACACCTCCTGACACTTTGCTGTCTTTTCAAGGGCCGCTCCCATCTTCCAAAAGGTAAGATATTACAGCACATACCAGGTTCAGCTTTCCTGAGACCTTCGCAATGTGTGTTAGCATGGGAGGAAGTATCATTCACTGTCACCACTTATCCCTCAGCCTGAATTGTAATCAGGCACTGCAAAATGCAGCCCTAATTACGCTGTCTCGAATGACTGTGCTGCTGTTCATTAAAAAGAAAAGTCAAATTACTGAATCCCCTTCTCATCAGTCTCTGTTGATAGTTACTTCAACGATCAGGGCAGCATTAAAGAGACTGCCTATGAAAAGTAAAACCTAGAGCATAGTCTCAACTAAGCACAACTGTTTCTCCCTTACAAAAGGCAAGTTCAAATACAGTGGGGAAGGAGGCAGCAAAGCAGACATCAGCAGTACCACAGAACCTCAAGTCAGAGAACACAAAACAAATACCAAGAGGAAGGTGCAGCAACCATCTACTTATTGCAGAGTGCTCAAGGTACAGTTCTGGTTAAACAGCACACTGCTGTGGAAAAACCACACAAACCACACCTGAAGAGCAGACCTTGCACGGGAGGGTCAGCACAGCCAAGGCAGTCCACCTCTCATGCCAGCCTCATGGAGGAGACGAGGCTTTCCCTTGCACAGAGCCCTGCCAGAAACATGGTATCACATGCAGCCCCAGCAGCATTTTCCATGCCAATCTGCAACTCAGTGACAAAGCAGATGTACATGTTTTAAAATCTCATTAGACATAACAGTAAGAAAGACAAAATTCCATCAGACACCCCTGTAAGGATAGGTGGCAGCAGATATATTTGCCTTCAAACAGTTTTCAGGTCACTCAAAAAAGCATCAACCATAGTCAAGTAACAAAGAACAGCAGCTTACCCCCTTCCTGAGGATCCGGGCTCTCTGGAAACTCTCAAAGGAGGCGATCTCCAAGTAGAGACTGTTCCTCTTCGGCTGCCAGCCCTTAAATGAGAATAGGGAGAGGCAGACCCAGGTCCACCCCTTCCAATCACACAGGTGAACTGCTTGCACCTGTGCTCCCAGGGCTGGCTACACCCCTTCACCAGGTGCTCAATCACTGGCTCAGGCCACGGCCTAACGGTTCTCTTGCAACCCCTCAGATCATATTTCAAGCACAGCTCTGCAGTTCACAACAGAAAACAAGATAAAAAGGATCTGCTCCCTGGGCCAGTAATCCAGAGTTAGAAAGTACTATAATTAGAATCAGGAGTGAGATTGAAGACCTCAGTTTGTTTGCAAAACTAATTAGCTAATGTTATTAAAAAGCAATACAGGATAAACCAGAGCACAGTCAGACTCTACAGCTAGCAAAACGAAGTTGTGCTTAGGATACGCTGGGGGGGGCGGGTGGGGGAAGAACAAAACACTTGATGGATTAGATCAGATTTCAGCCTGAGCACTATTCATACAGCTCAGAGTTAGGAAATGGCTCTGAGGGTTTCATCATAGAAAACACAGCCACTTCACAGCAAGATTTATTAATACATCCAAAAGAAAGAAAGAAAATCATTTTGTCACACTATATACAGATAATACATACAGTGTTTTATACACATATTACATCAGTTTTTACACAAGAAAAATATACATAAAAATGTAAACTTTTGTATACAAAAACCCTTAAACAAATTAAACAAGGACCAGATAACAAAAGGAGACCAATCTATCATCATTTTCATTGATTTTTTTTTTTTTTAATGGTAATACAGTACATTCATTGAGAAGTATGAGGAACATGTGAGCCAACTGATCCTATTTAAAGGGAAGTACAAACAGGAGCTTTCCTACCCACCCTGGAACGCTGTCAGAACCGCTCTGGGAGCTGCTGGCACTGCGACTGCTCTCCTTGGGCATCCCCAGGTTCCGCTCTCCCCAACACAGCACATCTGCAGAAGCAGTCGGGGCTTTTTGTGCCCGTCAGCGTGGTACAGAATGCGGCAGTGCGAGTTTGTATGTTCCCTTTAAGCAGTCACTATTGGATTTAGCTTTGCTGTAGCAAGCTGTCATTTTTCCCAATGTATGGTATGCTGAATACATGTTGGGGATGAAAGGGAACAAGGAAGGGGTGTAAGAGACTGCTAATCCTTGCTACCATGCAGTTACTTCAAAATCAGTTACGTTTGCAAGCTACAATTCACTGGTTCAAATACACTGCCTCACCTGTGCTTTCCCACTGCAACTTTATGTTTTAAACTCGAGTGGCCAAACAGCTGTACGAGGCTCTTTGTTAGAAGGCTGTTTCTGATATCAGTGCGATCACACTGCCTTTAAAATGACACCAAACACAAACTTCTCTGAGACAGCCTTGAAAAGAGTGACCGTCCCCTCTAAAGCACTTCAGATTGTCCATTTGCCACCTTCTCTTTTATTAAACCCAAAACATAGATATTTATTCTTAATTGCAAAGAGGATATTGGTGGGGCTGACACCTCTTTTGCTCCACTTGCAGATAAACATTTTGGGGGAATTTAAAAACAAAGCAAAAAAAAAACAAAAAAAAAACAAAAAAAACCCCCACAATAATACAACCCAAACCCTAAAACCTCAGGCATTAAATAAGAAGGTAACTAATGAATGATGATGAAAAAAGCAAATGTCTTTGGAAAGAAACAACAGACTCCAGCAAAGGCTTCTCACATTAAATAAGTTAAAGACTTGTTACAGACATCTTCATAAAAAATATCCATCCTCCACGAGTATGTTAACGTGAAACACGACAGTGATGCACCAGAATTATTCCTGGAAAGTACAGAAGAGCACGAGATCTCCTCAGTGCCATCAGCACTACCAAATGTAGGAGGTGAACAGTGACTGAAGAAGGTAAAATAATGGGGAAAGCTGTGTAAAAGAAACCATGAATCATTAATTCTATTTAGAGAAGGGAGGTGGGCAGAACGTGATTCCAATATGCCTCAGAAGGAAATAAATACTTTGCAACTTGCACTTCCATTTCTTTCTTTCCATCTTAAGTGATGGTGGGAGTAAGGTCTGCTTGCTTTGTTGTTGGTGGTGGTTTTTTGGTTTTTTTCCTTTTTCTTTTTTTTTTTTTCTTTTTTAATAACAACCCTTCTAGTAAAAATTCAAAAGACAATTACAAATGGCTTTAGATAATTAAGAGTCTCCTTTTTAAAATAAAACTTTGATAACACATTTCTCCATTTCTTCTATATAATGCAGCTTCAGAGAAAATATCTCATAAGGGACAGCGATTTGCAAAATGTTTAAAAAAATGCCATCCAAGGTTCGTAACATATACACATGTATATGCAGGACATCTACACTCTATATACATATTTAATATACGAATGCATGAGTATATACCAGGAGAGGACCAACAAGTATGTTCTCCACATACATAAACTGAAATAGGGTCATCTATGTGTGCATATATGTATTATACACACACAGTACACAGCCATACCCATACACACACCCAAACATATGTATTATAGATATCGTCATGTATGATTGCATGAAAGATGGAAGAGTACATCAGTTACCTTTTCCTAATAGAAATGCAAGGAAGACAAAATTCCATGGCTGAACTGTGGCCAAGAAAAACAGTGTCATACCCAGACTAAAAACATGGACTGCAGTAAGGCCTGATGGCAGAATGGAGCTGCGCTCTCCTCTGAAACCACAGGTAAGCAAGCCATGAATGTCAGCAGTGCTTACGTGTGACTGAGCAGGTTTCTGACAGCTGCTTTCTGCTAAAACTACAGGGGAACTCCAGCTAGCCAGAAAATGAAACAAGATACTTAAAAACACAATTTACTTGCATAAGCAAAATCATTCAATGCACAATGAGATGCAAAGTTCTTGCATGCTAATGGTCAACTCTGCAGCTCACTTTAAAATCTGTTTATTGGTAAAACTAACGAGCTGTGTTTCTTTTGATATGTTTGACAACAGCGCTGCTCAGAACCAGCACAAGGCTGCCTTCTGCTCATTGCTCTCCTTATGGGAAAGGCACACTGAGCTCCCTTTTTCTCCCTGGGGCTGAAAATTAAGATGTTTTCAGTGGGTTTGCTTTTCTCATTTTGAGTATTTACCTCTGAATCGTAGTGCTGGGTTAACCTTTTAATATGCTAGGTAACTTTGCATCAGTTTCTAAGAGAAGTTAGCGTTCATCTACAAATCAGTCACAGTCATGGTCAAGTACAATTGAGTAACTGGAAAAATCTGCCTAGGGTCAAGCAAATGCTCCGGGCCCAATTCAGCTGCCACTGCAATCACCCAGAAAATTTCCCTAATGCATAGGAAGGGCTGGACTAGGCCATTAGAGCTGCTCACTTCTATAGCATGATAAGCTTCGGAGATACTGGGACAGGGAAGAGCTGGAATGAAAGTAATGGAGTAGCAAAGCAAAAGAGGTCGGCATTGCAAGAGGCCTCACTGAGTATTAATATACACAGAAGCAAAAATGTACCAAGGAAATTCTGCTTTGAGGGCTGAGGTAACAAAAATCAGTGGTGACCAAGATCAGACCAATCACTGACACCAACCAAAGCCCTCAGATGAACTAAGACCACCTTGTTTGGCACCACGTGCTTACCTGTTACACATAGCTTATGGCTAGTCTTTCTTTCAGCTCACACACTTGTTCATGTAACAACAAATGCACGTGTGTGATACTACATATATTCCACCTATACATCTGTATGCATATATATATATATATATATATACACACATATAGATTGATTGCATTCATACCTATTTATCGTGCATCATGAGGACAAGAGCACATTCAGCAAAGTGCTACCAACATCTCATATACAGATATCTCTCTCTGTACAGGTATACACAGAAGCAGGTCTGTTTTTCCCCAAAAGGCATACAGATTTATGCTGCTAGCTCCTATTACCACCACACAATGAGAAGGAAAGGCCTCTGACAACAGCCACCTCCCTGCCCTGTTCACTCGTACATGCAGATGCATGGGAAAGGAAATGCACTGTGTCATGGACGTACTGAGAGGGAAGGGAATGTACAAAAACTTCAAGGTTTGATTTGCAACTGCTTTAAAAAAAAAAAAAACAAACAAAAAATTAAAATGTCTGTGAAATACTGGAAGCTCTGTTCATCTAAACAGATTTTTAAAGCCACTGAGATCAGCATCACTAAAAGTGAAACTGTATGAACAAATAACATTTAGGTTTTACTTTTCTCCAGCCTAAATGTTATAACTGATGCACAGTATGAAGCGTAAGCAAAAATGTAAGAATGTTTCTGATTCCTCACCCTTTCAAGTGAGAACTCTCAAAGAAATCTTCATTCTCCAATTATGAAAAAAGCTAAATGGCCAAAACCAAATTCCAAAACTCACAAGTGGAATTCCCTGGGCTGAAAGTGTATTTTGCTCTAATCCCAAAACAGCAATTCTGGAGCAAAATCAATACACACAAAGACCTTCAGGAAAGAAAAGAATCTGCTTTGAAGACAAGAGCCTCTTACAGAATGGAGATCAGTCCTCAACCAGTGCTCCTTACAACCTGAGTTGAAAACCAAGTACAACTGGTTAACCACATTTTCCACCTTTCTCACACCAAAGGAGTATTAATTTGCAAAAATACATAATCCTTCTGTCTCGTCGTCATCACAGAACTCTCCATTTCAAATTCTCCTGAAAAATATCACTCAATTCTCCCATCCCTCCTCCTCCTCTATGTATTTTATGTAAAGGCTGTCTTTGGGAGCTTGGTATTTTCATGACATTTTAAACAGGGCTCACTGCTAGTCATTTAAAAAACAGTAAAATTGACATGATATCAGAATTAGCCTTATAACAGAAGATTATATAGTAGAGAGTTTGAGTTATTTATACAACAATGAGGACATAGGAACCCCCTACTAAATAATCACATTTCTACAATACATTCCATCACCTCTCGACTACTTTTCTCTTTACAAAACTATGACCTACATACATTATACACATTCATATCGCACATACATCCCCCCCAATGCATATTTTTTGTGTGTATATATCATACATACATGCACACAAGCAGTCTAATTCTATTTATAAGTCACAGTGGGAATTCCTTTGTGAGGAAAGGAGGGGGAAAATTCCTGAATAAGACACTGAGATTTCTAATGTTCTGACTTTTCAAATTCCAACTCACAGAGCTAACTGGAAATAAATACATTAAAAAAAAAGTCTTAAAACTTGGTTCACAACTTCCAGCTACAGTAGTTGGATTTTTTAATTTGATCTATTTACCCTGTAACTAAATGTCTAATCAAAGGTACAAACCACAGATAAATTATTGCAGAATGTAACACTCAAAGTAAAATTTAAAAAGAGATATAGGAACAGTAATATAAGGGTTAAAAAGAGTTCTATGCTTTGTTGATACAGGATACCATTTTATTTTAATTATATATATATATCTATATATAGATATAGATATAGATATCTGCAAGGTAGCAAAGAATAGCTGTACACCTTGACACGGCAAAATCCAGTGTAAAAAGGTGCTTCACTAGTTTGTCTTCCCAAAAAAGCTTGTATATAATTTTATAGCCATTAAAAACACATATGCAACATAATTCATTACACTCAATACAGCTTTAGTATAAAACTTATAATTTATGAGGTGATGTTAATAGCATAAATTAATATACCATTTCTCTTAAAATCTACAATAAGTATTCTGAAAGCTCATTGGGGAAGGGTATCTTTAAATAAAAAGTTTAAAGCTGAGCGTGATGAAAAAGATTCTGTATGTTGATCTTGAGAGCCCCGAGAAGAGAAAGAGTCCCTAAGCCAGACAGTGGACTAGAAAATTGAACACGGATTTCTCTTTCTTGCACTCTCACTTAGATGACGCTCTACCTTAAATTATTATTTACTTTTAAAACTATTTACTTTTTTTTTTCTTTTTTTTTTTCTTTTTTTTTCTTTTTTTTTTTTTTTTTGTTAACTGCCCTTATTTCCACAAGGAATCCCTGAGACATACCCAAAACTGTACAGTGAAGGTAATCACTGTTCAGAGAAACTGGTTCAACCCCTTCTGGTAGGATGTGTAGATATTTTGCATGAGAACCCAACTGTTCATCACTTCAGAATCAATCTGTTTTCACTGGGACCAACTATGCTGTTTGGAACGCAGGTTAGAGTCATTACAGGGTAAATCATCCACTCCAAAGCAGAAGCAAATGCCATGTCAGTCAGCTACATTAGAGCAATCTGCATCAAAGTTAAAGTTTTCCAGAGGATATCTGGGGACATCACCTACCCAGAGCTCACTTCCATGGGCGCCGGCTGGTGAAGGCAGCAAGCAGATAAAACATTAGTGCTGCTGGACCAAGTGCACGCGCATGTACTCTGTGTATCTCACTGTGTGTGTGCTTGGGGGCTAGGGAGGGGAAGGAGCACGAGGAATGCATTTTTCCCTCATCATCTATGTACAGTTTTAAGGTCAAAAGCCTGAATTTGAACCTGTTGACTTCCAACTAAATTCTGTGAGCCAGGGAAGACTGAAAAGGTGCCAATGCTTATAAGGAGCTGGAAAAAGAAAGCTTTCTCTACTGATGTCCATCTACAGCCAAGCCCACTGACTTCTTTCATGCTCCACTGCCACCCTATTCCACAGGGGCCAGAGAACAAGGGTGTGGAAGCAGAATACAACAGGGGAAAACAAAGAACCAACAACCAGGAGACAAGTAGCAAACAGCAAAGGAAAAGCTCCCATAACTGAGTCACTTTTTTGGTTTGTGTTTAAATGGCTGAAGATACGTGTGAGAAAATTGTTCCAAGACATAATATTCTGCAATTCCTCCTTCTCCCACAGATTTTTCATTCCCAACAATTTAGCTGAAAGAGCTAAGGTCTCTCACAGGCTAGGAGTCACCTGAAGTTCAAATTTAAGCTTAGTAAATTCAAACGTCAATTTTTCCCCCAATTATCTTTACTTTTAGCTGGGCTTCTTCATACAGCTTTTAAAGAGAATAATCTATAACTTTTGTGATTTTCTACTGATGCACCCTCAAAACAAGAAAAATCTGTGAGAAGGCAGATGCTCACTAAAAGCCTACACATTCACTGCTGATGTGTGTGCTCCTCAGCATCCAACCTATCAGTGTGCTGTGAAACCTTACTCACTGAGCTGAGATATATTTCACGTCTAGTACACTGTCATTCTAGCACCCCAGATGTATGCTATGAAATGCAGGAATCTCTCCTTCTTTGTGTTTCACAGCCACATTCACTCAGGATCAAGCCACAGAAGACTTATGGTTGGCACTACCTACACTGGAGGATGGGAGACTAAAAGAAAGAATGATGGAGAATGCAGAGGGAAGGAAATAAAAGGAGCAGAGAGGGGAAGAGGAGCAGCCCACAACACCCCAGCACTAAATATCACTCAAAAGATCCAAACCTACTCCTTCAGTTAGTATCTCCACCACCAGAGGATGTGGTCATTGCAGTTGCAACTGGCCTGCATAGGAGACTTCTTTACATGTCATGGCAAAAATTCAAAGGCAAATAGAAACATCCCATGAGGAAAGCTGCCAAGACACCCACACAATGCCTCACTGCAGAAGAATCACCAAAGGTAAGTTGCCTACTGTTTGCCTGCTGAAAACTCCCCTTGCTGCGGACTGCCTTCCACCACTTGACAGATTCAGTTCCAGGGAGCTGGTCCTGCTGATGCAATGCAGCAGCCAAGCTGCTACAGCACCACGGAAGAGTTGGAGCTTCAGATGTGGACCAGCAGCATGTGTACTTAATCACTAGGGACAACTTCTCAGTGAAGACACCTCTACAGGGTATTATTCCTTGAGACCCATCTTCCCTGGCAAGCCAATTCAACCCTAGACTGTACTTAGTTGTGGTTACAACAAAACAGTGCCTCTAACTGAATGTGGGTACTAGCCTGTAAATTCATTCCCAGCCCCTCTTTTAACATTTCTTCTCTTACATTTGTACTTCCAATACCATCTCTGATTTTTGCCTAACGTGTTGTAAGCTTCTCAAGGCATTCTAATGTTTACAAACAGTAACTGTGAATCCTCATTCACTAACCTGCAGAAAGAAGTTGGAAGCCTAGCTGTTGCAGACTATAGTGTATGAGGCAGACCTGCATCTGTGCTACCTCTCAGCATTATTGATGTAATTGTTTCACTGACCTTTATGTCCAAAGACACAAAGAAGCTTGCTACCAGTGAGAAGAGAACTAGGCAAGAACCTGGGGGAAGTTGAAAGCTGGAGGGGACAAAAAAGGGCATCTTTCCTACCTGCTTGCATCACAGATGCATCTTCTATCAATTAATGACAAGGCCTAAGAACAAATCAGCCTTGAGGTATCTAAGCTCCCCTCAAAGTCGGCCTCAAATCTTCCGAAGTGAAAGTGTGTCTAACAGAACACCTTACACACCAGGCCACCATCAGGCTGCTCCTATCAGCCTCCATACACTGCTATGTGTCATTCTGTCAATTCTTACACTTTTGTACAAAGAATAATTGAGATGCAGCTATTAACAAAAAACGATCCTAATGGTACTTTATTCTAGGTCTAATTCTTTTCTCAATTCTCTACAACTCAAATCTTATGTAAGGAAATTAACTTTTAAGTTAAACTAGCTTTATTCCATCTATTCATATGTAAAGGGCATGACAGATATTGACCAGCTCAAATCAATGGACTGCAATTGCTACACCGACTCTTTGGTGAAAGGGCGATTAGAGTGCTAATTGCTGTACAAGGAGATGATATTCAAAAACCTCAGCAAGAGAGTATGAATGCTATTCAGGAATTACACAAGGACCACCTCATCCAGACCTGCAACACTTCCCAGAAGAAGAGGTGCCGAATTTTTGGCTGCGCAAGGTTTTCAATGGGATCTTTTAAATCCAGCAGTAAGACACCGATCCACTGAACTCAATGGGCTCTGCAGGTATAGAAGCCTACTGGCACGAACCCTCCTGTAAACCTAACATCAGTTCTCCTAAGTTCTCGTCAGGCTGTATTGGTGGCAGTGGTAAAACAGAAGGCAAGAATGGTGGCCCATTTCAGAACTCTATCAGACAGGACAGAGGGATTCCTACTTCCAATCTATATGAACAAATTCATTTTTAATAGTACAGTTTACTGCAAACTTAGTTTGCTCACTGAAAAACGTTACCTAATCACTTTTCAGAAAAAGGTCATCAAGGGATATACAAAACTGAAGTTTAAGTGGCTGAAGAGCTGATGTCCTAGGCTGCTTTATAGGAATGCAGATCCTTAATGGCCAATGATTTCAAATAAGAATTATGAACCTGCGTAACTTTGATAGCTTTTGAAATTCCCTGACTAAAATAACACTCAGATCAGGATCTGGATTCTGTTCTGAATTACGCCAGTACAAATTCACAGTGACCTTATTCCAAAGAGCTCCTCTGAAATTTATGCCAATTTGAGCAAGCAGAACTTGGTCCTCCATTCCTCCCCCCCTTCACACCCTGCATTTGCTAAGAAAGAGAAATGTAATGTGGAGCAATTAAACTCTGAAATAGCTGCAGCTTCATTAGAGAGTTTGATGGGCACAAGAATCATTTCAAGACCAAAGTCCTGAAACCAATTTATAGAAATTAACATCCTCTAAAAATGACACAAATACACAAGCAGATTAAAGAATTAACCATTTGGTATACTAGTTCTTCACTCTTTTTCAGTCATCCAAAACATGAAGAAAGAATATGAAAACACAAGGAAAATCATTTGCAAATCAAACAGTTGTCTTCTCAACAAAGTATGGGGAACTTAATACAAAAATAAATAAATGCCTTGTTCAGATTTGCCTCATTTCACAATACCACTGGGCATTCCTCAATCAGCAGGACAATCACAAGCAGGATTTCATAGGCTTCAATTCAACTTTTTACATGATTTAAAAACATTTAAATGTTACAAACATATTTAAATCACCACTTAAAAAATATCTGCCTTATATTAAGATCTATTTTACCAAGTATGAAATAAGGACTTCATAACAACAGAAGCATGAAAATCATTTTTGTTTCCTCCACCCACATACACTTGCAATTTCATAAAGGACATACACATCATCCATACTCCTTTAAGTTTAAGGAGGACAAACCTTTCAAGAAAAGGAGATAGTATGATTGCTATGATAGTAAGGAGAACAAGACTTCTCCCATTTAAACTCTGTTCTTTAGCAAGATGAAAGGAGAGGTTTGGGTCAGAGTTCAATGTGGGCCTGACTGCTAATGAAATGACTTTCTATAGAAACTAAACTTAGTTCAAAGATCTGTTGCTCAAACAATTTATTACGCCTCTCTGTTACATGTGCTTGGTTCTCAGTTTCCTGGACTAGACTAGAATATATGCAGGTAGGATGTACTACACTAAGGTGGAAGGAAATCCCTCTTCTACAGTTGGAGACTGAAATGTGGGTTTTTCTATTCTCTCTCATTTGCATCTCAGAAACAAGTCAAGAATAGTAGAGACTTGTTATACTAATGAAATAGAAGTTACTTTTACAGTCAAAGTATAGTAGCAAATCTGAGCCCTATAAAGTCGCAAGCGAATTCCTTTTTTCCCTTCCAGTAAAGAGATACATGTAAACACCTCTGGATTTCTGCTGCTGTTATCCCTTGGATTAAAAACAAAATAAAAAATAAAAACATCTAAAAGCTAGTGGACTCCATTCTATAAGAACTGAAATTACTCTGAAATTACTACCTAAAAGTCTGAACACTTTCTTCAGCAGGTGGGCAGTAAAAGCAAAACTGTCCTGCCAAAAAAAAAGAAAGCAAAAAAACTCGTATTTACCTATTTTGCTTTAGTGATTTATCTTTTGGTTAGCCATGACTGCTGATAGGTACCTGCTAGTTCCTCACACACACACAGCTTCACGTTAAGAGCATTAAGTCCCATAAGAAACAAATGGCTTGGTGTGAAAAAAAAGCTAACAAAGTCATAATAGGCAGAAACAATTTGAGAAATGCATCTGTTTGGAACTTACCAAAGGGCCTGAACTAGACTTATGTGGATGGGCAGAATACCAACTGAATTCTTTCAGTTTCACCTGGAAAATACCTGTCAGCCTGTCAGGCAAGGAGTCTGGGACAAAGCCACACTTGAAAAGGCAAATCATCAATGTTACAAGGCCACAGTAATTCAGCAGGGAAGGGAATTTCTGCACAGGAATCTTCACTATACCATTATTCTATTTCAACGTTTCTGGTTTAGTTTAGTTTTTATTTATTTATTTATTTTCCTCTGGGTTAGTTTTGCATCAGCCTTCAAATTTATGGGCAACCAGTCAATTGTTCCCCTTGCTGCTCAATGAATTAAAAATCATCATCATCAAAATAAAAGTCAGCATGCAGTAAGAACAGTGACCAGATCCAAAAGGGGACAAATCCCACTTTTTCCACTTTTTCACCAAAAGCAGAAAAAGAACTGCTGCTTCCTGCACCCCAAACACACACACACGCACACAGAGGAGATCAAGACACTATCTTAACAAGCTGTCAAAGTCATTCTTGAACCATGGTCTTGTTTTAGGACTTCAGTGCACTATTCTCAATTCAATGTGCGCAGCCAAGTTTTCAATGCCAGATGCTACCTTTGGGAAAATAAAAAATAATAATAATAATAATAAAAAGACTTCTGCCCACTGGAAAACTTTCTACCAGATGCTAATGGGATGGCAAGCACTGATCCAAACCCTAGGAATCAGTAACATGCATCCGTAATCTGAGGTATCTTCCCATTGCTAGGTCTTACTGCTAAGATCAATTACATCCAGTAACTGTGCTGTAACCTTAAGGAATTACTGGGGAACAGTGAACCTGCCTGCACTAAATGAGCACCAGTGCGTAACAAGCACATGTGAACGCTACAGCAAGGTTCACAGAGGGCTAACCCTGGTCAGTACTGAAGCTGGGGTTTTCTTTTTAACCCCTTCATTTAAAAAAAATTAAAAAAAAAAAAAAAAGGGGGAGGAGGGGGGAAGAGAGGAGAGAAAAAAAAAAAAATAAAGGAAGAAAAGAAAGATAGAAAACACAGGTCCCCCATCTACCTGCACAGAGCCAGGCAGACAAGCTCAGCTGGAAGTGGTGAAGGGCGCAGATGCGTTATTGGTACTGGTAGCGGTGGCACCGGTCACTGCAAAGCCTGTGGGAGGAGCTATGGAGCTGTGGCTGGGCTGCAGGTCCTTGGGGATGCCACTGTGGGAGCTCAGCTGGTGCCCAAAAGCTGCGCTGAACTGAGGGAGCTGTTGTTTAGGGGAGGTGGAGGCCATGAGTTCAGCAGAGGCAGGACCCATGCCACTAAAACTGGTCTGCGGCAACCCCGGAAGCACACTGGAGCTGTTGGGGGTCACAGTGGCGAAGGCAGGCTGTGTGGTCTCTGAGTGCGAGGTGGTAGGTGGTGTGGACAGGGAGGTGGACAGGAGATGTCCATCTGCACCAAGAAGGTTGCTAAACGGAGAGGGGTCCCCAAGATTGACAGGAAGGTTTCCCCAGTGAGTTCTGGGGTTGACCACCCCGCTAAGTGGCACATCCAGCTGAGTTGGGAGCAAGTGCTGTGCCATCATGGGCATCTCTGCTGAAAAGGTAGCTGCCAGGTTATCACCAGAAAAGGATGTGGTGTGAGGGGATGTGATATGGTCACTGTAGGGAGACGGCACATGCTCACTATCATAATGGCTTCCATGGGGTGAGGAGTGTGAATGGTCACTGCTGTATTGCTGTCGTGAGGTGATCAAGTCATCTGCCTTGCTCAGCAGCTGGGCAGGGTGGGGCCTCTGGGAGGCATGGCTGCCATCGTGAAGTCCATGGAACTGTCCTGGGAAGGCTCTCTCCCCAAGGCCACTCTGGCTTATCAGAGTGGCAGAAGTAAGGCCGACGTTGGCTGGGGCTGAGAATTGCCCCTGGATCTGCCCTGCCAGGGGCGTAGGTGGGTTGGACAAGGTAGCAGAGCGGAGCAAGTTCTCATCCAGCTCCAGACCGGAGAAGTTATCATGTACTATACGCCCATTCAACAGCTCCCCCAGATCCGTGTTAACCTCTCGACTCAAGGACTGCATTCCTGGAGCTCCAGCACCTGTAGAGAACACCCCTATCCCTCTATCTGACAGCTCCTGAACTGGCACACCATCTGTCTGTGTAAGTACTCCAATGGTACTCAGGCACTCAAGAGAAGTTACAGCCTGTAGGGCCCGTTCCAGTTCTTCAGCCTCTTCTGTTGTTGGAAGGAGATCTCCATTTTTACCTGCAGAAACAGGGACACCGGAAGTTAAGCACTCATCTCAGGCGGCCCCCAGCACTCGAAGGATGCAGGGCTACAGAACAGCACTGTATAAGTTTCCAGAATGGCTTGTGGTACAGAGGAAGTTTCCTTCACCAGTGTTGACTATGAAAGCAGCGTAAGAAAAACCAGAAACTAAAACCTTCCTCTCCTGTGGAATTCCTTCTCCCTTCCTCCTCTTCAATTTGTAGGACAAGGTGCCCCCCACTCTCACTGGATTTAAAGCAAAAATGCTTACACAAGATTTTCATCATTGCTGCAATAAAACAAATTGTCCACAAATTCCCTTCTGCTTACTGCATTATAGCCTAAAATTTATACAATCAGTACAATTTAGGCTAATTTCTACTAAACTGCATACGCTGATATCATATCTGGTCAGAAAATGAGCAAAGAAATCACATACTCCAACTCCAAGCTGTTCTTATTTCTTTGTTACCTGTGATAGTTACTGAGCTTCAGAATCCAGAAATGCGGGCTGATCAAAAGCTAGTTTCAAAAACGTATTTAAAGATCTTATTTTCACTCTCTTCTCCTTTTATCAAAGGCCAACATTGAACGTGATTTCAGCCCCACTCAATGGCAGAAAGATGCCATTACTAAGAATATGCTTGATTAAACTGCAACACTGACAGGCAATAAAAATGCAAAATGAATTATTAAAAAGCTAAACCAATTAGGATTTACAGAGCAGTAATTATAAGAGCAAGCATTCATCTACACACACCAGCCTTCTCAAAGGCTGCTTTACTTCAGAGCTCACAAACAAACAATAGGGAAGACATATTCTCCCTTGTCTAGAAGTTACTGCCTCTCTGGGAAAGCAAATTGCCCCTCAAAATGCATGCTTCAGAAATACTTGTTTCTTCAATTCACTGACTGTGTTCACACTAGCATAGAATGAAATAAAACGATACCTTCGAAGAAATCAAAATCTTGCAAGTCATCGGGCAGCCGTGGCAGGACATCAGAGAAGTCTTCCTGATTCAATTCCAAGTCATGTGGAATGTCTGTGATTTCATTGGCGATATCATCAGGCAGCTCATCGGCACTCAGCTCTGGGGTGGAGGGGCTCCTGGACAGAAAGAACCATCAGTCCCTGGTGTTTGGCTTTGATTCCTTCAGACAACAACTATTAATGGACATTTCCTCACATTTTATCCATCAAATTCAGTATTTGCTCAGATCTAAAATTACTGACTCTAAGTTCTGTTGGTTTTTTTTTCCAACAGTCACATGGAGATTTCTCTGGAAGCATCTTACTGCTCCAGATGCTGATCAGCACAGCAACATCACACCTTTCTACAGTGCTTATTTACAGTATTCAAGATAGCAGAGAGCAGGATGGGGCAAGGCTGCCACTAACCGTATATGGGGCATCTCTACTGGCAGTGAGACACTGGCAGGCATGGTGAGGTTCCCTTGGGGCACTGCAGGAGGAATAGGTTTCTGGGGCCGGCGTGGGCCTCGCCTTCTCTTCTTCTTGTGTTTTTTGGTAAGTGCGGGTGGCTTTGTTTTTTTCCTGGGTTTCCTCTGCTGCTGGTGCTGAACTTTACGGGAGCTGTCCCCCCTCAAGAAGTTGTCCTTTGGGAACAAAACAATAGCAGCAGAAGCAAATAAAGAACAAACATTACTTTTCTTGCCTTTCTTTCCCCTTATTATGTTCATATGTAATACAAGAGAGACCGCTAACTTAAGCCCAGGCAAGACACAAACATTAAGCTGTTTCTTCCCTCTCTGGCAAAAAAAAAAAAAATCACAGACACCAAAGTATGGGGTACGTTAAATAGAAGAGGCTGTACAGTGTTATTTAACAAAACCATCATAAGAAACCCTAACTAAATCTCTGCAAAACTGTTATTTTAGTAGCGTTCCTATGAATATTAAAGACAGAATACTTTGGTAAGGTGGTAATAATGGAATGTAGCAGCTGCAGACAGCATCTTCAACTGTCCACTTCCATATAAAAGAGACAGCACTCTAGGACTAGGGATTTGTAAAGAGTATGGTTGAGCAACTATGGCCTCACTGCTTTTTAAGAGTAACCCATTAGATGATTAAGTAGCAAAATCATTATGTTTGCAATTGCTATCTACACTTCCTCTAGAAAATGCCTGGGATGCTGCATAGTGAGGTCGTTTGAAAAGCAGTGCTCTGTCCATACCAAAACTCATAGTACATTCAGATCCAAGGGCCAGGAGTGAGTCCAAATAAAATAGCCATAGGATCTCTAAGTAAGACATTTTTATTTCTTGATACAGGAGAGGACGATTTTCTCATGTGCAATTTGTTATATCGTCAAAAGTATCTAAAAGAATTCTACAGCATACTTCACACTAACCAGGAATGTTTTACCCTCTTAAGAAAGAAAAAGGCAATGAGCTCTTAAAGTTGTGAATTCTCTAGTTATCAAGCAAGAGTTTACTCAGTAGAAAGAAATAATTATGGTTTTGTACTTACCATTTTTTTGGCATGTTCTTCGCACAGAGGTGTCTGATGTGTAATGTCAAAAACTGGCACAGAGCACTGCTGACCATCTGCAAACTTGGCTGTGCAACTTGAGAAGAGCTGCTGAGAACGGTTCAGTAAGATATCTGTGCATTTCTGAATCAGGAATAACACACAAGGCAACGATGGAGAAACGCCCTTTGATTTATCCATCTGGTAAAGATCAGAGCCTTCGACTTTATCTGTCCACGGATGCTACTTTTAATGAGTATCTTAACTTTGTTATTCAAGTTCAAAGCTAGGTAAGGCTCAAACCCAAGTTTTAAAGCGAAAAAGTGCATTCATGCAGAATCTCTAATGATTTTATTATATATTGAGATAGTTTTATGGAAGCAGCTATTTCACTAATGAGTTCTTAGCAAAAAGAAGTCTTTTCCTGGATTCTTAATCAATAGATCAATAGTACCAGTTGAAGCAGTGTAGTCAACATGACTATTTCCTTACAGACTAATGACAATCCATACTGAAACATTAAAGAAAGACTATTTCTTAATTCAATCTTTTGAGGTACATTCTTGGCATTTATCTGTACAACTCAGACAAAGAAGTTTCAAGATCCTTCCTGCTCCCCTGAAAAAAAGATGTGTAATCAGACACAAAGGTCAAGTAAATCTAAACGTAAGCTCACTGATATTTCCTTCAGAAAAATTCCCTGCAGAAGTGAAAATGTTTCTAGTCTTAAAGCAAATCAAACAGGTATTTCATTGTGGCTTTTTTCAGCACCAGTAGAAGTGCTCCTTCAGTCCTGAATAGTTTTCAGTTTGATTCTACCTCAAGATCATTATGTTAAAAAAAATACTAAAATGCTAAAATGCAAAGGAAAAGAAAAAGAAAATGGGAAACCTGCAGAAGGTAATCTGGATTGCAGACTGCTTGTTTCAGGTTTTCACTGAGAAGAAAGCGTAAACAAAACAGGTAGAAATGCAAAAATTACTATTCTTGACCACTCTATATAGACCCACAAACAAAACCACTTAAATTTAAAGAAAAATAAAATAGAATTCTGAATCACAAGGAAGATCCAAAACACAGCCAATCCAAACAACTGAAAAGGTGCCGCCATCTGCTAGCAACTGAAACAGAGACACACTAGTCTCTTAAAATACCAAAACCTCCAATAAAAGGAATTTCACCTACAAAAGCTCTAAGTCTTCATCTATAAAAAGATGAAGCCTGCAGAATTCTTAAGTATTCCAGGTCAGAGGTCTGCCTGTTTATAGCGTTCAGAATTAAACCTCACATCTAGTATGCTTCCTCCTTTCTGTGAGCTTCACGTGTAAACTCTTTACATCTTTCCAGATGTTGCTTGAAATTCTCTGCAATGGGAGTTCTTCCTCATTTAGAATTTGGACTTTCTGACTCCCTCTCTTCTGTTTCTTTAAACAATGCAAAATAACAGATCTCCACGTTCCCAGTCACTGCGTACATCATCTTTTTCAACCACATGTGAAAACTTGTTTCCATAAACCTTTCACAGGTAGGCAGCCTACTTGAATCTACCAAGAATTATATGAAAGCCATGAGATTGAGGGCCGCGTGTTTTGTACCATTTTATCCATGAAATATAATCATTTTCATACAGATTTCTTATACCCACTAGACATAGCTTACAGGAGTAAATAATGTGATTATGAAAGATATCAGTAACAAACCACTTATCTTCAGTGTCTGCAGACCCACAAGAAAAAACTAAAAGCAACACAGCTGACAAGACACTAACAAACACTCATTACTTTGTGACAACATCTTTGTCCATGCAAGAACCTAATGAACAACTGTAAAGCAAGAAAGCTTCCACTTCCAAACAGTTAAGAGGATACGCTGAAAACAATGCCTGGTGAATGGAAGGGCCTTGTTAGTGCATGGTTCTCCCTTCGAAGTCCCACTACAAGTTGTCGGTTCTGCATCTCTCTGCCTGGCTTGGCTTGTGCTGAAACAAAAGCATAAAAGAGTTTGGAGTCCAAAACCCAGTCTCAGGTATTAACTTACCACAACCATTCTACTGACTGTGGCACAGCAGGATGAAACACTGTAGATCACGTGTGTGTGTGTCATGATCCAGATGGGTGCACATCTACTACCACACTCTAAACAGGGATATAGAATAGATGTCAATGAAAGGTGAAGGTATCACTGTATTAAAAGGATTGTTGTTAATTTGATGGGGCCTTAATTGTAAAGAGAGGTGCTCTGGTGCTGTTACTATGTAAATATTACTACACTCTGCAGCAGAGCCCAGAATAGCAATGAGTGTCATCACAGGTGATCCTTAAAATGAAGTCAACTTTCAGAATACAAAGTATTGGGTATGCCCACATGGGCAGTCAAGTGCATTTTCAAGCCTGTTCATAAATCAAAACATGCCGAGCATCCCCAGAGCTTACATGCAAGCATGTGCTCAGACAAACTTAGACTGAGCTCTGGAGTGGCAGAGCCTGAGCGTGCTCAACATGGGTAAAAGCTCTCCTTCGTCAACGTGCTACAGCCCAATCCACCAGCAGTGCCCAGAGCTGAGTGCTTCCTCAGCACAGCCTCGGTGCTTTGAGCCTGAGCTGCAAGCAGGCAACCAGACAGCAGTGTGGATGAGTACTGCAAGTGTTACACAGCTCACTCGGTGTTAGCCTGCTCTCAAGGCATTTGTCACCTTCACGTAGATAAAGCTGGAGGTTCCAGGGCTGAATTTCACCTCTGTACACGTTGTTTTCTAGGTTGACAAAAAGCTGTCTGTAGCCTGACTGCTTGCCTTCATCCATTACTGTCATCAACTGCACTTTGACTGAGCAAAGTTTTAGTTAGCGATTCTACCCGTGAAACATTTTGTAAATGAAAAGACTGCAGTTACCCAATTTAGCTAGCGCAGCGATGACAGGCATACCTGGCTACACTACTCTTCTGAGAACAACTTAATCTTTCATGTAATAAAAGGCCTCAGTAGCGAAAAACCCAGAAAGAGTTTGTCAGTTCTGGCAAGGGTTTCGCTGTAGCTGAAGTTTGGAGACATTTATGTATCTTCACAAACTAGTCGTGTACCTCTATATTACATTTTTGAGAAGTTATTCCAGCATCACTCCACCTCCCCAGCAATAAGCCCTCCCACTGCCAAGAACCACAGCCCACTGGCCAGGAACAAAAGCATCCAATCATCAGAATATACTCTCGGTACCTGGCCTGCCTCTCATGTCAGCTCTCCCCAAACCCACAGTAACACACCCTGTAAAGCAAAACCAAAAAATCAAAGGGAACTGAGGGTACTCAAGACACCAGGATTCAAACTTACTCAGTCTCTATACACACACATATCAACCAACTCTCAGTACACCAAGAGCTGGAGGGATGTTGACATTATCTAGAAAAAATTCCCACTGAAGGTAACCTTCAGAGCTGTTAGAAGATTTTCATTGCTGAGTTTCATTTAATGTTAGATTGAGTTAAATCTAATAAAAAGCATGAACTTAAGTTTGATTTGCTGGGAAGAGAATTAAAGAGTGGTAAAGGCTGGGGGGGGATGTTAAAAAAGCAGGAAAAAAAGAAATGAATTGAAGCAACAAACTGCAGACCAAACTCAACACTTTCTGTAGAACTGGGCTTAGCAAAGTGCCAGATATTTGGAGACAGACAAAATGCATACATTCATTAGCAAGAATAAATTTTAGTGGGCCACTAAGTTCTCTTAAGACATTAAAGAATCCAGCTACCTCTGAACAAACAATCCACGTTTTAGAACACAAAGCTGAAAAATGCCTCTTTTAATAAAAACTGATGTATGCCATGATTATTTTATCCTGATGGCAGCATGTTCATGCCACGGCTGTTCGGCTGTGAGCATGCCTACCAGTTTCAGAGTTCAGCATTTCAGCTTCAGCTGCTAGAATCTCTGCCCACCCTCACCCTGCCCCAGCCCTGGGTTACTGCAGGGGAAGCTCTCACCTGCTACGAGCACAGGTCGCTCTCCGGAGTTCCTGGATCAGTTGCCCGGCACGCTCTGGCTCTCTGCTGGCCGCCTGCAGCAAGGCTTTCCGGAGCGTGTGCCGGCATTTCTTCTGACGAGATTCTGCCCGCTCCAGGCGGCAGAGGTGCTTGTATTTCTGCTGAAAGTAAGTGCAAAGTCTGGTCACCCTGGAACTCCTGTCATCCGCATTGTCATCATCGGACCTGGAGGCAAGAAAAAAGAAATAAATACAAAGAGGCTTTAAGTAATTTCTTTGTTTTTTTGAAGGAACTTTAACATGTCTATTGAATAGAATTGTTAAGTTGGCCTCCATCTTCTAGCCCCACAGACATCCAAAGGCTTAAAACAAGCAGGGATGCTCGAGAAAAGGGTAAGAGCAAGAACCTGTTTGAATTCTAAAGGTACTTACCCTTCTTAGCATGTCATTATTAGAGATTACATCAATTTATCATCAACTCTGACACATTTAAATGTCTGGAGCCTGCTGTTCAAAAAAAAAATCTATACTGTTAACCTTTATTTACTGTAAATGTCTCAGCAAATGAGACAAACTCTTAAATCAAAGTGCAATTAATAGTGAAGACTAGGGTGGGGAGCTATTCAGTGGAAATTTATTGAAGAAAGGTCATGTGGAGAAGATGGTCAAATTCTAACAAGTACCAAAACTACTGACCTTTTCCAATTCCCCTTACTTTGCCAAGTGGTGTTTTTCCTCCTAAACCAGCTAGCTCTTCATGCTCCCTGCCTCTTGCACTAGACATATACCAATCCCATGCCCACAGCAGCAAAGGACTTACTTCAGCCTTCTTACTAAGAAATGCCCACAGCGTGTCCCTTGACTTTTAACATCCAAACCCAATGCTGCAGCTCTCACAGATAAGCCTGGACTGATATCCCAGTTTCATCACAGTCAGCTGACAATGACTGCAAGAAAACTGTAGGGTAACACAAGCCATCTCCCCGTAACTGCACCAATTCTGAGAGGATTTTAAAAAGGGAGCAAGGGAGAAGTACCGGTGACTACTTTGTAAGGAGATTTTAAGACATTGTTGCTCTCCCCTTGCTGCAACGCTACCCATGCAGGAGAAATGCATGTTTAATTCTGAAGTTATTGAGGGGAAAAATCAGACCAACAGTGATCAGGACTGATCTTTGTCTTTGTTTGCTTGAGAAAGCTTTTTCCCATGTATCGGAGTTTTCTAAATGTCCAGGCACTTATCAACAGGACCACCAAAGCCATGTCAACGTGCTCAGTTCAACAAAATCAAATAAATAAAATCACAAAGCAGTGAACTTATCCTTGGGAACAACAGGGTCCCTGGAGATACCAAGTGGTCCTACACACCAGGCACCAGTTTGCAGAAGGATGGTTTTGCTCCCAGAGCAACAGAACTGCATCTAAGCAAAGAAGACCTTGTTCAGTTTTTTCTTTAAGTTTTCCCTTACAGAACCAAGGAACTTTTTGTCAACTTCCCCATTTGAGAGAAAAGAAATCCAAACAGAAGAGAAATCAATCCCATCCCCTCAAGGCTCTGGCAGTAGAGCTTGGTTGGTGAGTCTGAAGGAACAAACATCCAAACCTGCACCTGGCAAAGCAGAGCTCAACTGCTGATAGCAGAAGAATGCAAGATATGGGTCAGGATATTTACTACACAGAGTAAGGTCCAGAAAAGTGAGCAGAACAGCTGTCCCTGAAAGGCAATATGACTAAAATCCACTTTCTTTTGTGGAAAATCTTACTCTATCTGCATGCAGACTAAATTTAAGAGACTTTCCAAAAGGCATCGTCACAAGGACTGCCCACAGAAACTCCACACAAGCACAGAGTGGGTGCAAATACACATTTGTTAAAGTTTTATGTCAATTCAACCATAATACAAATTCTGCCCATTAAGACAGATAACAGACTGTTTTCAAGAAATGTAAACTGCAAGCAACTAACCACTGCAGTTAAATGCTATGTGTCACATGCAGCTTGTTAAAGGTATTTAATGTATATAATGTCTAAAATATTTTCACACTGAAAATGAAAAAAAAAATCACTTATAAGCATTCATAGAAAAGAATGCCCACTGAAAACAAACAAACAAACAAACAAAAAACCCAAAAAAACAACCCGATCAGAAAAAATAATGTGCTGGAGCACAGGTTGCCCAAGGAGGCTGTGGATGCCCCATCCCTGGAGGCATTCAAGGCCAGGCTGGATGTGGCTCTGGGCAGCCTGGTCTACAGGTTGGCGACCCTGCACACAGCAGGAGGGTGTAACTAGACAATCCTTGAGGTCCTTTTCAACCCAGGCCATTCCATGATTCTATGGTACTCAATACAGATTTTCCTCCTAATTTATTAAAAGAAAGCAAATATATGAATGGAATCAGTTACATATAGATCAGCCTGAGGTCTGAAATATTGCTTTATCTGCTCTGGGACAAATCATTTAAACAAATTTGCACACATATTAATTTTAAATATGGTTACAAAAGTTAATTCATCATTAAGTAAAAAAAGGTCTGTCTTTCTGGAGGAAAGAGTGTTTTTCAATGCAAATGTCTCTAGACTGGAGAACTTGAGCTTGCCTCCCATTCAAATAGACAGAAAAAAGTCATAGTATTTTAATACATTTTGAATTGAAATTTATGAGATCACTTTATAAAACAAGATGAAGACACATATATAAGATATAGAAAGAAGTAATTTCTGCAGTTAACAAGGGTTTATTTCAGTTTCTAAAAACCTACTCAGAAGCTATTTCCCAGCCAGCTAGATTAACCATACATATTTCTCTGAGACCTAAGAACAGCACAATAACACCCTCTTTTTTTTTTCTTTTTTTCAATAAAACCTAGGCAAGTATCAAAATTGAAAGATACCTTTTGCTTTTGTCTCTTTATAGGCAACTTTATCACCTTCTGTTTTGTCTATTTTCTTATGCCACATTTATAACTTTTGAAGCAGAATTTAATGTGTGGCATTTTGATTTTCAAAATAATTCTGAAAATGCATGCAAGCCATCTGATAAATCATCCAAAGAGCTTCTTCCCAACCCTTCCCTTTAGGACTGCCATGCATAGTCATCAAGGGAATTACCACTGACTTCATGAAGAAAATGAAGGCAGTAAAAAGGGAGAGCAAAAAAAAAAAACCAAACCTGTGAGCAGGTGGGAATGGGGAGCTGCTCACTTTCCTCTACTCATCTACTCTGAGAAGCATTCCTGCTGCTGTCTTCAGGGGAGTCAGATGGAAATGGACACGTTATGATGATTGCCTTTGGCTTGTACTGAATTACGTAGTAACCAATGAAGTGACAGTTTTGTTGACATCCACCTTAACTGTTTCTGTGAGTAGGTGCTTTTAGGGTCCTAAAACACTTCTCCAAAAGTATACTTCTAGATACCATGTACTGGCATTAAGGGAACATATCAAATAGCAATTACAATTGTATAACTTTTCCCATAATTCAAACATTCATACTCATCTGACCATCTGCATGGCATATTTTACCATATTAATTGCACATATAATTAACTTACTATAGGAATGTAACTTCAAGAAATATTCTAAACTAACAAAAAAGACAAAAACAGTACTTTAAAAGTTAAATGACATTTCCTGTAGAAGCTAAGAGAAATATTTGGAGGGATCTCCCAAAGGAACTGCAACGAAGACTCAGAGAAATTCAGTCTCAAGTGTATTTAGAAGAAGGTAAAGAAGCAATTTGTTTGAGGGTTAATGTGTGTGCTCAGGCACAAATGAAAAAGAGAGAGAGAACGGCTTTAATTTGACCAGCTTAACTAGAAAGAAGAGTAAGCAAATTCCCAGTTTTGGGCATATGCTTTTGGAACCTGACAGCTTTGGAGAACTATTTCCACTGCTTTCCTGCTTTTTTTAACCAAAACTCAGAGCACAGCAAGCTGACCAAACCAGGAGCTATCAGACTGAACTGCCAGCAATACAGAATCATTTTGACCAATCAAATCACCCAAGAATGAACTTGTCTTCAGACAGACCAGAGTGCAAAAACATCCAAGTAAAACATTTCATGTAGAGAAAACCTCTACAGAAGGTTGCAGAACAGAAATAAAAGTTTTGGGAGGCAGACAGCAAGCACACGTGTCAATGTTTATGAATAAACTAAATCAGGAAAGTTGCTGAGGAGCAGCCAATGCTGGGCAGACTGACTGAAGTACAAAAGCAGCTGGTACAACACAAAAATGTATCCATCATGATCAGTTAATGAACTGTTTAATTCAAATGCATAAAATGCTAGGACAGATCAGAAAGATGTCAAGAAAAGGTATCAATATGAGAAAAGATGAGGAAAAATTCAAAGGAAGTTAAGACAAATAGAAGACAAAATACACACGGATGACCTTTAGAAGTTGATGAAAAAAAAAAGCACCAGGGATCTAAGGAAGAACTAGTTCAAATGTCAAAGAGAGATGAGCATATGGGAGTCATTTGATAGATATATCTGCTTTGAACATTATGTGTGATTTAAAAGATGAACTGAATGTTGCTTCATGTTCTCCCAGAACATTTTGGTTCAGAAGTCACCTTTTAAGTAGAACTAAAGCTTGTGAAAGTTTACTCTCTGACTTTCAATGCCCTAAAAACAATGGTCTTTCATAGTTTCAAAACTCCTTTCTTCTTAAAAAGTAAAAATCTACCCTGTGATTAGGCTTCAATTCACTAAGGGCTCTCAGTACTTGGTATGTTGCTGCCTGTCCTGCTAACAGCTCTGTTGCTCACTGTGCAGACACACTTCAGGGACAAATAGAAGCTTTGGCAAGTCTCAGAATTTCCATTTAACAATGAGATGACGCTAAATGCTACTTAACTGGGATATTTAAAGAATAAATAAATGGGAGAAAGCTGTAGTATCAAGCAATCCATTAACATACTGAAAGAGAACATCTTTACAGAAACTACAGTCAGACATTATTGAGACCCAATTTCCTTTCAGTTTCTTTACAGCAACACACTTGAGACGCTTTGCTTCAACTTTGCATCTTACAACTTATGTTAATAAGGATGTGTATTAATGATATCCTGGTGTAAGTCCAGATTCATGGTTTAGCAGAATAATGAGACCGCTACTGGCCTTTCTGCACCAACAGCTGACACCTGCTCAGACACATCCCTTCCTCCTTTCAGTGCTCCCCACTATTTAACAACAGTTTATTCAACCCTTCCTAATTACTAATACCATGCCCTTTGAAAAAAAAAAACACATTAAAACAAAATCCTGCACAATTACCATTAGAAGTAACAAGTAAAATGCAGTAAGTTTAGTAACAAGCTTATTCACAAACAGTAGGGAAAACAAGAAACCAAGAAAAACACTTTTCTATTGGTTACAAGTCAGGAAATTTCTCTATCCAGCAAGACACACAAGTTCATGAATAAATATCACTAAACCCAACTAAATTTAGGCTAATAAGCTTAAATTCTTTCCTGATGCATCCTTCTCACAGGGGTGTCCACCTTAAGTGAAAGCTGGAGCTGAAGGCAGAACACTGTTTAATAGCTCTTTACAAATGAGTTCAAAAAAGCCTTCGTTTCAGCAAAACACATAGGGTCCAACGACTCCATTGAAGTAAATCTCATATTTACATGATTTACTACATCAAGGCCAGCATGAACACTGATGAATCATACTCACTCATGTCTTTCGTAGCCGAGGGTTTCTCGGACAGACCACGCGACCTGGTAAGGGGAGGTTTGCTCTGAATCCTCCAACTCCTCTCCACTGTCTTCAGACCAATCCAGCCCTACAGGAATTGAAAACATGAAAGCTGGGTGAAAAGTGGACCTGCCTCCCACAGGTCTCTGAACAACCTGTGGCAGAAAAGACAAATGTGTAGCTCAGCTTACAAGCAAAATTATGTTTGATTAAATATATAACATTTTCAATTAGAATGCAAACTTACACTAGCATCTTCATTACAGTGTGCAAACAGCATGCACTGATTTATTTCAAATTTGAGTTTTCCTTTTAAAATCCTTCCTGGACTCTTTATCCACAAGCAGTGAAAGTGAAGACACCAGCTTTCTTACCTACAGAAAACGTTACAGCTTTTCTACCAAGCACATGGAATCTTCAGAGATGAGGTAACAATGAAATCCCTGCCACAAAGAACTTACAGCCTGGTAACTTCTATATCTATATGATCTAAATAAGCTACTTCCATTTCTACTTATGTTCTGACCAATGCTCTGTGCCAAAACACCCAGAGAATGGGAAAACTGCGAGACAGAGCAGCATGGGTAGAGACAGATACACAGTTACACAGGATGCTCTGCTGCTCAGTAGCTGTAATTGCCTGCCAAATGCATATATTAGCAGGAAAACAGAGCCACAAGAAATGTAAATACTTGTGCACTCTTAAAATGGAGCATGCTTTTCCTTAATGATCACACAGTAGGTTCAACTCATTGTATGCATCAACAGCCTCTGTTAGTCAAACTGATGGACTCTGTTATTGGCCTTCCTTTGATATCCTCAGGTGGAAAATATTAGCTGGGCATCTTTTGCAATTTTGCCTACTCTCTCACCCACATCCAGCAAAATTCTTTCAATCCCTTGCAGAGGTGGGATAAAAATCCTGCAGCCACATTTACAAGCCATCGTCACTGGTTTTTCATTTCCTCATGCACTCCTTGAAAGTGGCACAGCAGTTTGGACAGAATTAAAGAACACTTTATTTTTACTGAAAATAAACTGAATAGCTCTAACTGAGATAGTTCTGAAGTCAGATGCTTTTAGTTTGGGAAAGACCTCAGTACCTGATCACCTACATTCTGAGACACACGCACACATCATTTGGAACACAATCATCAGGAGCCCCTCTATCATTCAGAACCGACATTTCTAGCCGAAAGATTAGAAACCCTGTTTTTCAGCACCTTCAGCATCCTGAAAATATTTTCTTGGTTCCTATCTTTTAAGATATGCATATGAACTAAATTAAGATAACTTAACTCATTTGAGAAAATGCCAGAATTATACTGTCTATGTTTTCTACACTCCCCCCTGAGCGCAATGGATACCACATAAAAATTACTCAAAGTTTAAAAATAAAATCAGAGTTTGGGTTGTTTTCACTTTCAATGGGCAATGAAGAAACAAAGAGATAAAATCTAAGCCAGACTCAGCTATACTCACACTGAAGACTGCAGCTACACTAACAACCAATTACATGCTGCTAATAGCACGTACACATATAAAACTGAGTTTCTCTCTTTAAGGGTTCTGCACCACCATCTGTAGTGCTACTTCATCAATAAACACAAATCCTAAAATTTTCCGAACTAGTCTTTAATATCAAGGCATATTATGAATAAACAACAACTTCATTTTCCACTCTGACATGTTAAATGTGTCAATTCCGTTATTTGCCAAATATGAAATGCTTCAAGTGTGTACACCATTTTTACATTTTATTTTATTTTAGTATAGCATTTGCTTAACCCTACATTTGTAAGTCCAATCCATTTCCTACTATGCCACTTTTTTAGGAAAATGTATTTCCTTCAGTTCAAACATCATGTGAGAATGTAAAACATGAAACACAGAAAGTGATCTTCCTATGGCATCTTGAAACAGAGGTCACTTTTTAAGCTACTTGAGTTTGTGACACATGGAAGTGCCTCTGGAGCTGCCATTCTTCAGAAGACCTGCATTACATGTAGGATCATCAAACAGCATTTCTGAAGAACAATGTCCTTTAGAGAATGTTATGGGATGCTAATTATCTTTGAACAAATAGTCAAGCTATCCCGTGAGTGCCAAAGGGCAGATCTTAACTGCAAATTAAAAAAAGGTTAATTGAAACAGCAAAAATTACAGATGTTTGCAATTAAGTAAGATGTTCACATAAGTACTTCCAGATTTATTTGAAGTCTTAAAAAAAGAATCATCATAAATGGCATTCCTATTCTAATATCACACACTGACTTCTGTTCCTGTTCTTCCTGTCAGTATTTTGCTTGTTAGGAAAGCACAGTCTAAAACTAAGCAGAAAAACAAGGTAATTTTGGAGTAGGAGGGACATGTCAAGGAAAGCCAGGTGTACTTGAGTCTGTACTCATCATCAGACAAATAAGCCCTGAGGTCAGCTGCCTTTTTTGAAGCTTCATAGAGCACTACTGCTATAGCAGTAAGCTGGTTATTTTCACTTACATTTTACACATACAAGCAATAGCTGATTATCACAGTTTCTAGACAATAAGGAAGGAGGAAACTATTTCATGCAGATAAGACCCCACCTCTCCAACTACCTTTTGTAAAGTTACTATTTTCCTCCCGGCACAATGACACTCCTCTTTTGCTGAGCCATGCTCTGTACACAACTGGGTCCAGTCTAGAAAAACTCCCTTGTGCTCCAACTCTCCTAGCCAAGTCAACCATAAATTTGGATCTGCACTGAATGATGGGCCAAATATCCCAACTTTTACTTGCACTTATTTTGTAACCTGCACTTGTCACATGTTTAACCTTGTCAAGTCTCCAACGGACCTTTACTAAGCAGGCTGCAAATCTTCTATACAATGCATATGTCGTCAAGCAATGCTTTCTATACCTCAGTTTGATTTCTCAAATGATTAATGGGACACTAACAAAAATAAACAGCTAAAGTACCATTAACCATATGTAACAGGTCCAGGCATCCCTCCATAGAGAATGTGGCTAACAAAAAGACAAAGAAATCACCTAGTGTTCAGCTCTGTTCTAGCTGAACAGAGGTAGGAGGACATTCCTCTTTTGTGTTCTGGTTTCAGGATAAGAAAAGAAGAGGCAAGGCATTTATTATCTACCCACCTAGGTGTGGAAACAGATCAGTGTCCAGCTGCTGTTTTCGAGTGCACAGTTTCACCAGTCTCTGTAGCCGGCTCATGCAGGACGAGTGTGGAGAAAAGGCTGTGGCTTTCATTAGGACCCGATCAGTCCTTGGAGGGTCCGTGACGGGAGCCCTAGCAGGTGGCAGGAGAGGCAGAGGTCTCTTGTTAGACAACTGCCGGGCTTGTGCTATAGTGTGTGTGGTGGGTGCCACTCCCTGCATTGGTAGGCTGGTGTTCGGAGGTTGAGGTGACTTGCAGACTATGCCCTGCGGTAGCCCTGTTGGCTTTAACAAAGCTGATGAAGGTGGCAGATGGGAGTGCTGCTGCTGCAGAGGCTGCTGCTGCAAAGGTGCAGGAAGGGGGCTAAAGTGCTCTTGGCGAACTTTTAAAATCTCTGTCTCTCTCTGGCGCTGCCGGTTTTGAGCCAACTTGCTCTGCAACTTTTTCCTCACCGTTGCCCCTTTCTTTAGGTCATCATCCTCCTCGTTGAAAGCAAAGGGGTCTTCTAGTTCTGCCTCCAGGTAGTGGAGAGGAAGCCTAGCCCCAGGAGGGGAGAGGGACATCCCGTCCAGTCCATTGGGCATCTTCAAGGCCAGGGTGGGCATCGTCAGACTGAGGGCCATAGTATCCATCTGGTGCCTGACCTTTACCTCCTCTATGGGATCATTCTTTTTCTTCCTCTCCTTTTTCGGTATAAAGCCAAGTACCTGCAGGTGGCTGTTGCAGTACCTATGAAAAGTAAAAGCAGCCAGTTCCTAATTCAGTTCTTGCAAGTAAAACCTGAAGAAAACAGACCTCACCAAGGGGAAACCTACACACAACTCGAGAAATTAGACCAAAACACAGGAGATTTTATACAAATTGTAAACAACTCCTAATACAACAGATAATTGTGATGTTCCCAACCTATAACAAACTTTTCCTAGTGACAATGTCACTTTCCTATTCATAGGACTCTCGCAGTATATTCTAAGTATTTACATTCTAGTAGGGTAAATAATCAAAACCCAAAGTGAACAAAACAAATGGACTGATACATAAAAGAGTAAGAAAGAACTCAAGCCCTTAACTGATCATACAAAACCATTTCAAAAGCTCCCAGGAAAGAGTACACTGATGACTACTTCCTTCATTTGGCTGTTCTTCCCCTGGAATTAGTGTTTTCATCAACACACACATCATCATTACGAATCCCACTATAGTAGGGAATGGTTTATCACGGGGACAATCTCACTGGAGATACTTTCTAAGAAGGGTATTTGCACTTAATGAAAAAAAATAGCTTCATATTTAAGCTCTGTTTTAGTACTTTAGCATAAAAAATTTGTAGCCAGAGGATTAGTGGAGTGCTCTTCAAATAAAAATCTAGTTTAAAAGAAATTCTGTGTTTCTGGAAAACACAGTGCCAAGAACATTTATATACAATCCACAAACACAGGTTTCAAATTCTAATATAAAAGAGTTGCAATTTATAGGCATAGATATCATACTATAGCATACTAAGATAGCATACATAGATAGCATACTAAGAAGTAAACAATTAATTTCTGTCTGTTTAAAACAAGCAGGCAATGAAGATATAAGAATCACAATCCTACATTTTCCTGCTTTCAAAAAGGCAGGACTTCCTGTCTCTGTAGAATGCCCCAGTTATGAGGCTTCTGTCCTTTGCAGATCCCATCTACAATCACAGCTTACAGATGAAAACAAAGATACGATAAAAGAGTGATGTCTATGTCATGGTATTTTTGGACAAGATAAGGAAATATCCATGAAAGTATTCTTTAAAGTCTTATCAGTATGATAGAGTAGAACAGAGCATCCTGTAAGGGACATAACCTGAGAAAATTAAGTTTTATGGAACAAAAAAATAAAAATGAAATGATTGATGGTCTTTATGAGGAAAAAAAAATAAAAAAAAAGGCCCAGTCGACCCCCAAAACATTCAATACTTCAGTTTAGCAGCTTTCAATTTGTCACCCTGTCCCTAAAGAAGCAACATGTTTTCTCAATAGTCCATAAAAGGCCTAAATGTAAATTCCTATATACCCATTAACAATCTCCATATAGGTAATGCCTTGAAGGGTCCACACCCGTAAGGATTTACAAATCAAAAAAGGCTGAAAAGCATTGCTACAAATTACCGTCTAAATAATTTCTTCATTACATTAAGTCAAAAGTAATAAATAAATGAGGCAAGCTGAAGTCCTTATTGGAACAGACTACAGTTCTGTAAATTCATACTGAGATGCACTTCCAAAAATTAAATTCTATAATGAGGGCTCGGCTTCCCTTAAAGTCAATAGCATTATTCACGTAATTAAAATTAAGCACTTCCTTAGCATTTTGTTTGAACAAGACTGAGATCAGTTAAGACAGCACTTTTAGTATGACAGAATAAAAACCACAGACAAGACAAGCACAATGAATTTTTTTCCCTTAATACCATAAAAATGAGAGCTCTGCTCAGTTTGAATGTTTCCCTTTTACTGTTCAGAACTTATATTGCCACCTTGTGCTTGTGCAGGAGCAAGGAGGTAAAACTGGAAAGGAAAGAGAAAGCCAAATATAGAAAAAGTAAATAAACCTATGGAAAGGTAGTAGGCTTCTCTCCGAGTTTTGGGCTGCTAAATGTGTTGCATGTTTAACTCTAACTCTCCTCTCTGTTTTACAAAAAAGAGAATAAAACTGATTCTTACAACTGACCACGCTTCATCAGCAGAAGCCAGCAGTATCTTACACAGACATCTCCCCTGACACAAACCTACAGCTGACAGGCTACATCATAAAAACACAGACCACATGCAGGTGGACTTCCTTCCCTGCAGCTCCAGGGCTGCTTGGTAGCTGGCCCTGTCTCAGACTGGCCTGTACTGCAGAACCAGGAGCAGGCGGTAAGTAGCTCTGCTGGAACCAACCAAGGGCCAGCCAAGCTGAGCAGGAGGTTCTTCAGATCAGAGACAAGGCCAGGGAAGAAGATCATGCTCCACAGAGGCAGGCTACTGGGAGGACAGGACTAGCACCTGGAAGCAGCACCGTGCCTTTTGCATGGCCCTGAGCACGATGCCAGGAGTGCCAAGCTGGCCCTGCATGCAGCTGGTGCTGGAGTGTCTGTCTCAGTGGCACAGCTTGTCATTTCCAAAACCTTGTGAGTTATTCTCAGCTTCCAGTATCACGCTGAGTACCTAATATAGTTTCTTTCCCCTTCCTTATTCAGCACTAAAGACACTTATTCTGGTGCAGGTGAGGACAAATGCAGTCAACATACACAGTAAGAGCAGTGGATTGATATCTATTAAAGCCACCACAACACACAGCTCACAAAGGTGATGGGCTGTGCAGGCTTTAGGCAGACAACTTCTCACATCATGGGAAAGGCAGGAACCCAGAAAGCCATGTTTTCTACCTACAACTGCATCCTGCTTCCCAGTACCTCCCAGGTTTCTATTAGGTTTAGTCACTTATTTAAAGGAATAACTAACTAAACTGGAGAGTTGCTTGCACATTGTTTACAGACTCTTGAAAGAAGAAAATTAAGAGATAAAATGGTGTTTAAGCAAGCTGTGTTGTAAAAAATCTATACTTTCAAAACATAAATAAACTGAGCATCACAATCTGTATGTGTATTTGGACAACAAAGAATGAGGAGACAAATTCAGGAAGAATTACAGGTGCACTGCCCATGTTTGATCATCCAGTGTATTTCTTTAAAAAAGCAAGATAAAGAATAGAGAAATTAGACTTCAATTAAGGTAATGAAGTCATGCGCTATTAATAGCTTTAATTTGAGGAACGTTAATGGTTAACAAGAAATTTAATAATATAACAGCATATTAAACATCTTTGTGGCTGATGCCAACTCATTTGTCAGGGGTTAAGGGATAATTATTTTTAATTATCTGTGGACAGACTAGGAGGTTTTGGCATATAATGTGTGCAACCTGTTAAGACATTCCATTTTCTATAATCTTTAAGAATGTATAAGAACATAGCTGTCAAAGTATCATACAGCCTGCTTCTGATCACAAGCGTGTCTCAAACTGACAAAATGACCATCTGACAGTAATTTTGTACACAGAAAATTAAAAGCTACGAGCAGAGAACTCAGGCATAGCAAACATCTTTATACTGAGTGGAGTGTGAAAGAAGTCTCTTAAGACACAGATACAGGTTTGCCTGCCAAAAAAAAACTGTTTCGAGCAGGCACAGTTTTATCACTAGCATTCATCAAATCTTATTGTTAAAACTAAGCTCTGCCCTGAGAAGCAGCCTTTTAAAATATTCTTTCCAACGATCACACCCTCTCATTTGAAATTAAAAGTTTATTTTCCCCTTCAGACACCTGCTGTCCTCTTCAAGCACTGTAATGTGACACTCGACATGCAGTCGAATAATTCTAATATAACATACACCAGATGTCATGACCACACTTCACTTTAACTTGAGAAAAATCAAAAAGAACAAAGTGTGAACTCAATTCAAGGTGTAAAGAAAAACCTCAAATTCCACGGGAACATATGAGACATAAAAAGTGTCATTAAATAGTATTATTTCTATTGTTTTTGAGTGCTACCCTGCTAAGCAGTGACTCGGGCTCAGTCGGCTCTTCCATCTGAAATTACAGCTTATCATTTGCTCAAACAATTTCCACGATCATTTTTGTGAGCTTATTTAAAGAGCCTCAATTGTACAGTAGCAAAGAAAGAGTCACCGACTGTCAAACTGCAGCTTAAAGTTATTCGCCTTGTGCCATTTGAGCATTTGCCCTACAGCTTTTGACAAACATTCGTGTTGTTTTCTCACTTCATCAGTCTCCTCAAGTGAAATGGCAGGTGAAGTGCAAGTTAATTTAGAGCACAGTCCAACTGTTGTTTCAGACAAGAGAGGGAGCTGTGAGCCGAGGAGGAAGTTATATGTAGGGCACAGTGGGAACACTGCTAATAATGCAAAAGGTTAGTGAATGGCAGCTAATAATGTGAAAGGTCAGCAAAGAGTGGTTTGACTCTTTTTTGGCACATTTTGTTTATATTTTACATTAAAAATATAAATATATATTTCTAACAGAATAAGCCCCAGGTAGTTAACACACACATTAATTAAATACTGTCATACTGGCAAAACCTGCAGCAATGAGTGAAAAATTAAAATCTCATACACCTTGCAGACAGGATGAGACAAATTCTGATATTTCACCCCAAGCAGCACAAGTGAGACATGTGTTCAAAAAGTCTTCAAGAGCAAGGAAAAATGCCCTTGTGGTTACAGTATGAGCTGCAATTCAGGAAGCCTGGTTTGAATTCCCAGCTCTCCAACAACTGCAAGCACTATCTCTTCCAAGCCATTTCATATTGGGCACCTCAGGCATCTTCATTTGGGCAGGGATGGGGAGAGAAAGGGAAGAAATAGAGAAGAAAGTGAGCAAACAGCGCTTTTCTAGCTGACTGGTCTGTTACCAAGTAATACGTGCTTTATTCCAGTAATACACCACCACAGATCAGCAGGAAAGCAAGAACACAGAGCTGCAACTCTGCATTCGCCCCTATGCATCACTGCTCCCTAAGCCCAGAAGGCATGCGTTTTCAGTTGTTTGTCCTGAAAAAGTAGACAGAAGCATGCTTTCGCCACAGTTGACCAAATAAGCAGGGCCTTTTAAGAGCACAGACTACAAGTGACAAAGCAAGCAAATCAGAACAGCAGATACTGCATAGCAAATTTGATCCATACTATATAGTGAATTTGACCAAAGCAACAAACCCTCCTGAAAACTCCCTTGGGAGCAAGTTACTGCTCTCTTTGAAAACTTGACTCCCATAGAAAATAAAATAAAGTTTACTGGTCTTATAACAAAACCCTCAAAGAAACATCCTGGAATTCAACTAACTAAAGCCAGTTCCACCCTCATCCTGAAACCAGGCTGCATCTTAAAAAGAAACTCATGCCTACATCCCAGCCAGTTCCCACGTCGCAGGTGGGCAACCAAAACTCACCTACGGTCCTCAGATTTGGGGATGGGGTTGGTGCAGCGTTGGCTGTTATACTTGGCCACATATTCACATTGCTTGAAGGGGGCAGTCTTGTCCTCCAGAACGTGTCTGATACAGAAGGCGTAGCCGTTAAGTCGCCTCTGCTTGCACAGTTTGGGGCTATACGAGCACAAGGGCTTATTGTCAACCTCAGAGAAGTGTATGTGTTTGCCTTCATACATCACGTGACTCTATTCCTTGTGAACATCAGCTGAAAGAGCCAAAATATTAAGATAAATCACATCAGGAAAAGAAAAATGCATGCAGTTCTAAATTGTGTATTTCAGTTTGATGCTGAAGAGAGACCCAAAACAATACCTGATTTTAAATCTTCTGTACCATATCAGTGTTAAGAGAGAGCCCCAAGGACACCACTATCCTGGAATGATGATGAATCAAGACGATGTGGATTGTCTAAGGAAAACATCAAAAAGGTCAAGGTCAGTCAGAATAAAATAGATAGGATCATGCTGCTTAATAAGTGGTCAGATGTGGCCACTTAACCTGTGGTTCAGCTGGCATCCAATAAGCCAAACCCACCAGCACGACAGCTTTCAACAAGCAGTCACAGAGCTTTGGAAACCATAAAAGGAAAAAACGTTGACTGTCACCACATTTAAACCTGCTAAACAAAACTCCACCTGTATACCACAAAATGATCAGGGGCTACAAGTCGGAAAAGGTTAAGCAACAAATCAAATCTCCTGCTTTCAGGAATCAAGCTGAAAGCTGATGTGACATTAACTCATTTGATCGCAGAAAGGTTCTCCTTCGAGAATCTTTGCTTACAAAAATGCTGGGGACTGTCCTCACTCTACCAAATATTAATTTTCACAGGCAGCATAGGAAAGCCTTTTATCTTTGTAAGATGCCTTTATCACACCTGGTAAACAGACTGATGATCTTGTAGCTGCCCACACCTTTTGTAAGCAAAAGTTTCAGGTGAGTGCTGACATTAACGATGCCAGAGACAGTACTCCCAATGACCCCAAGGGGGCTGAAATGCCATTTCAGCAAGAGCCCGTCTTCTTCCCTGCTCCCACAAACAGAATCCAACAGTGCCACAAAATAACAAAGCCATGAAATCTTCCAGTACTTTTTCATTTCCAACCACTACGAAGTCTTCAGCAATCATTTTTCTTAAAACACACATGCACAAAACCAAAGCTGCATCAAGAAAACACTAACAGTGCACACAACCTGCAGCTCCCTGCTACGCTCAGCTCAGCCTGCCGAAAGCCACTGGCGCTTGGGAAGGCCATCCTGAACCACAGAATGCATACACAGTGTATTCAGTACTCAGTTTCAGGTGTGTTATACACCGAGCAAAGGAACGCACATAGAGGTGAAGAGATGTGTGACAACTGCACAGATCACCAACTCAACCAATTTACTTGGAGCGTGCCACCAATCATTTGACAGTAAGGACTGTCCCACGTTTCCTCTCCATGCACAGTCCCCTTTCCAGGCACCCAGGAGGCAGCCCTGGCACTTTGCTTACAAACAGTGAGAGTATGAGCACAGACATCAAATCCACTTCCCACTGCCTTCCCCTCAGTGCAGGGCAGCACAAGAAGGTGCACACTCCATATATCCAAAACTGATGGCTGAAGTGTGACCCTTTGCAACGCATTCATCCTCAAAGCAACAATGTGAAAGGAAAGGTGCCATGCCTAAGCAGTAGCAAGGTGACCTGGGTGCAGGTCCCACGTGCTTGACAGACAGCCTCCTCCATTACTGGGGTAGCAAAAGTAATTAAACGAGTCTAAACGAATTGCATCTCTTACACTGAAGGAAGCTGACAAAACCTTTTGCCCCAGAGTTTGCTGCTCTCCACAGTGACCCAGTCTGGTGACAGACTGGACAGGATGAAGGACTGGACAGAGCACGCCCATCTTGCAAGGATGGGGTGACCCACATGCTGCTATTTCTTTCTGCCACGTTTACCACCACCTCTTAAGCTGCTGCTATCATGCTCTGCAGAGTTTCGTACTGACCGGTGACCTCCTTCTCCTTTGCACAATGCAGCCACATTTCTTGTCTGAAGGTTATCAAGCAGCAGAGCAAAGAGAGCTTTCCAGAGCAGTTCCAAAGTAAACAACACAAAACACGTATCTGGGTTCCTCGGTTAAGTTCTGGGGAGGAAAATGCTCCACAGTTCCCAGCCACTGTAATCTTGAATTTATTCCTGTGCCCCGTCTTATTTTTGGACTTAACTCATAATTAAGTCTTATTTTTGCACTTATATTTCCAACGCAACCGTGTAGAGGCAGGCACAGCATTTTCCATCCCACTTGTCTGAAAGATACAGCCCACAAGCACCACTGCCGTATGAAACACTGAAGCTGGGACAGCAGCAGTAATCCTCCGGGAAACCCCTGAGCTCACACATGTATTTTGGGGGTCTATAATTACACTAAGAAAAGCTCACAGAAACGTAACCAAATTCAAAATCCTGCTAGGAACTGATCAGTGCAACCACAGAGTAATGAATGAAAAGAAAGCTAACGCACCCAGCAGCCAGTGTTACACGGGAAATTACAGCAACCTTCACAAACCACGTGAGACAATACACGTCTGATGGGCAGGCTGCTACACAGACCCTGGAAAGACAGCAGTGCTGCATGGATATGCTGACAGACTCAGCTCACACCAAGCCTATAAAGAGCCTTTTCTTTTTGTTCTCTGCCACATACAGGTGCTCAGCAAGCACAGACACATGGCACTGAGGGCCGTGGTTAGTGGGCATGGTGAGGCAGGGTGAGGTTGGACCAGATGATCTTAGAGGTCTTTTCCATCCTTAACAGATCTATATATCAAACATAGACTTCTTAATTAATCAATTCTGATTTCAGCTTTTGTAGTGCTTTCTTTGAAACAACACAGGAGTTGTTAGCAGAGCTTTTTGCTGCGACACAGCAAGTAGCACAAGCGCAGCACAGGCACGTGTCACTTAACTGAACAGAACTGAAACTACGCTTAGCTAAACAGTGGGTGGGGAGAAAATATTTTTGTCCCACAGGATTTAGCAGAGATGATGGAAACATGGACTTCCCGTGGAAAATGAAATGCTCGAGCAGCTGTACCTTGCTGCAACCCTTTTGGAAGTTGTGCTGGGGTCCGCAATTATACTCCACATTGCAGCTGCAGAGAGGTTCAAAACAAACTCAATTTAAGCCAGCATGTCTTTAGACTGGCTCTAGCCACAACCCACAAATGAGAAACCAGAGGCTACTATTGGAGGAACCCACATTTTCCTTAAACAACTGCTTCTAAGCACAACACTTTGAGAGTAAGAAGAGAAGAACTCAGAAATCTGTCACTGCCAACTGACATAGGATATGACCAAGGTTTTAAACATCCTAATGGCAGGGGATAAGTGACTACAGAGCGGTCAAATGACAAGTCACACAATGTTAGAACTAGGGGTGCCTGGGGAAGTTAGCATGAGATTGACTCAAAACACAGGAAAGAAGTACTTCTCTATTGCTGCTGCTCACAGGTAGTGAGCCACTGGAACCCACTGTCACAGAGGCAGTGGGAGCAGGCAGCATCATCGAGTTCTGGAGGCAACAGAAAAGTTTATAGAGAGTGTGACCACTGACACTAGAAGTGGGCAGTGATGTACCTGCTAGCACACCCAACTTAATAAACACAGATGCTGGAGGAACAAAAGAAGAAAACGTTTAAAAGAAGTTGGGCTTTCATATTCTGCCCCAACTGCATCATTTTTCCCACTGTCCAAGACAGAGCTGCGGGCTGGATCAATCCCTGAGCTTAATCAGGAGGGTATTCCTATGTTCTTACAAGCTTGCCACTAGCATCTGTCATTTGGAAACATCTTCATGTTTTACACCTGAGTAGACGACTGGAAGAAAATCTCCTCCTTCCGGTAAAAGCCCTGTCTGGGCATGCAAAGGGCAACAAACTGTGCATCCCAGCAAGGCCTTCATGTGAGGACAGGCAGGGCGCACAGCAAAGCCACACTGTGACATAACAGGTGTTTTGCAAAGTGGCTATGAAAAGACAAATGAGACTTAAATATACACATGCACACACCTGCACAGCTGCCAGTGCCTGCTGCCAGGCATAGGAGGGAGCCAGCTCCCAGCCACTGTCAGTGCTCACAAGCAGGCATAACGGGCTCCCTCACAGTGCACACTGGCTGCAAGACAGCATTACCTCTTCCAATACAATTAAACATTCCTTCAGAGTAGGCAGAAAACACCGCCACAGCCAGTCTTGGGGAAATCTCTGCGAGATCGTACTGAGTACCAGCATTTTGTCATACAGAAATTGGTACCTGGCATCACCTGTGTTCTACAGAGAAGTTAATGGCCTGGCCACTGTTACTGGAGCCAAAGTACTACAGCCGCAAATCCAATCAGCAACCCTGAGAAAACACCGCACAGAAAACATCAGAACGTTTTAAACCATGTGGGTTAGATCCACTGTCAAATGTATGCTCAGAATTTGACATTCAACCTAAGTGAGACCAAATTTAGGCAACAGAATCCCCAAATGCATTGTAAATTGCAAATGAAATTATTATATGTCAACAGTTGGATAAGATGTATAATTAAGAGGACTGAGCTCAGAGGTTCACACATCGCATATGAATAAGATCTCTTTAATTGTGACTTTTAACTGTGTTCTTTGAATTCTTAATACCAGCACAGGCTTAATGCTGTAAAGTTTGGTGTGTTCATGTCATCTCACAGACCAGGTGCAGTATCCTACACGTGCTCAAAACCATCACCTTGGGGCCAGAAAGCAGAACTCTGATCTCCACAAACCTCAGATTTTCCACAAACAGCATAAATAGCAGTTCTGCTGATTCCTTGATTTGACCAAGAGAGAAAAATTCCCTCTGCTCCCACCGCCTGATCCTTTTTGCTGAGACTGACAATAAACACGTGGATCTGAACATGCTTTTGGCAACTTGGAATTTAATCCACTCAGAGTGGAACAGAAGCCATAAGAGTCATTACAAAATGACACACATTTAAAACTACCTTACCATAAAACTGTCCAGTCAGCACTAGTAAAACCTGTATTATTAGAAAGAAGGCTGCCCCCTCCTTGGAAGCACTGAAGTCCAGGCTGGATGAGGCTTTGAGCAACCTGGTCTAGTGGGAGGTGTCCCTGCCTATAGCAGAGGATTGGAACTTAAGGGCCCCTTCCAACCCAAACCATTCTGTGACTCTATGACTCCTTTTCTTCCCATTTCATATCTAGAGACGAGTATCTCTCAGAGAATTACTCTGTTTTATCAAAAGAAGCTATACCACATCTAACATCTAATTGTGGTCACCATCAGCACCACAGAGTTGTCGCTTCTGCCCCTGTTCTATGATTTAACCCCAGTTTTGGCTTACTTCTCAATCTAATGATGATGACGTACCAAACCAAGTCTGCTTTAAACCCAGAAAGAATCCTGTCAGTAAAAGCACCCAATTCAAGACAGAACACTGGGAGGTAACCAAGGTAAATAAAGTCAGCTATAGGAGTTCTCATTGGGAACAACTCTACTAACAAGTGCACAGCCTTAGCTCAAGAAGACCTCTGAAGAGCCCACACAAGTGACGAAGGCACTGCACACACATGCAAGAACTGGGACGAACCTACCCCCAAGATGCAGACACTGAGCATGTGAGATCTTACTGGACACTTTTAGTTCCCACCTAGAATCACATTTTGAACTAGTTTTCACATGTGGAAATCTACCTAGGAAGACAGAAGCAGCAATATTGTCCTCATTCTGCCTTCTTAGAAGGCACATTACTTCAACTCTGCAAAAAGACAATATATATTGCACAGAGGTGTCCAACATATTAACGAAAAAGCAACTGCATGTTTTAAGCAACGCTAATAATATGAATTACTCTTCAAGATACAACAAACTAAATACGTAACTGAATTTGAGTACTATTTCTAATAGTAACTAAATAACATACAGACTTGTGAGAAGTTCCAGTCAACAACAGAAAAAGTAACTAAGGAGAGGGGAAAAAATACTTTATGTTCAAAACTGTGCAAGTTGCTGATTTTGTTTTCCTACACAAAATAAACTTCAGCAGGAATGGTAGAAACTGGGGTTTCAAGGAGGAAAGATGGTCAGTAGTAACATTTGTTACTGACATCTGTAGCAAAGAGCACATTCCTATAGATTTCAGTATAACATTTCCTAAATATGGCTATTCCTCCTCTGAGGCTCCAGACTGGTTCCCCTATCTCAGAAGCCTTTTGAACAAGGATTGCTCTATCTGACCGAGTCCAAGGCCCCCGTCCTGCAATCACATCCACACAACACGATCCTCATGCTTGCACAGAAGCACACTTATTTCAACATGGCTATAAACAAACCCAGGGATTGCCAGGGCGACAGGCTGCAGAAAGAAAGTCTTCAGACACAGCAATAAATGGGACGTTTAAGGAATTGCAACATCGCAAAAATGCAAACTAAAATGATATCTCAAAATATCTAAACCATGATCCAGAGAGAAAGCACAGACTAAAATATAACACAATGTACCTTACATCTGTACTTGAGTTAAAAAGAAAAGAAGAAGAAGAAAAAACTAAGTCCAAGTCTTTTATTCATCGAAATGGGAGCTAACTTGCACTTGCATATGAGGTTAAATAAAACACTTCTGCCTTATTTTTAGTCCCAGTGGTGCACAGACAAACAAACTTATTTTCACACAATACAGGAATATCACTCTTGCTTCAATAGGAATAGTCAGTAAGTAAAATAAAGCAGCAGAGCTCCTCACAGAGCCACCTTCTAGCAGTTGTAAGCGATCAGAGTTTCTATATTGCATTACAATAAATTTCTGCTTCCTGAGGATCTGCCATACTGCGAGAGAATGGTAGTACATACAACTCTGTAGGACCAGGCCCTACATACAGCTCATTCATTCATTGTGAAAGTACTCAAACATCAAAATTACACCTACTAAGTAAATTTGGGGTTGCTTTCTGTAGGCAATTTAGCTTTACAATTAATAAAATCTGTCTTACGCATGTGTATAACACAAACAAATCACATACAAGGCTGAAGATGGTTGCGACAATGTCACTAAGCTGCAAGTGACAGCTTCACAGGCAACACTGGTGCTGGGATTTACCCATCCACAGCAGTACCCAGTTGGTACGGTCTGAGAGTGGCACTGCTGGTACAAACGGTGCCCAGAGCACACAGGACACTCAGCAGGAAGGAGGGAACGACGTGCTGTCCTAAATTTGCCACTTTTAAGTATACCAATCCTCAAAAATCGAGAGCAGCCTTAAAATAAGCCCTCATATGTTGTTAAGTAACGAAGTCAGAACTAACTATAGATCTACATATTTTAATCAGATGGTGCAATATAAAGCTGTAAGTTGTTACTGTCATTCTCGAGACGTATTCAAGGTTACTTGTACAAAGCAATTAGCCTTCTGAGCTGGAAGGCATTTTAAGGAACATTTAAACAAAAGTATGCATCTCCAGCACGAGAAACCGGAGCTGGTTCACCTGTGCGGGGTGAAGCGTATTGGCTGGCTCTCCAGTGGGCTCACTTCACAACTACAGACGTTCCCTTCCCTGGAAAAAAGCATCCTTTCATTTCCCGCTCCCGGCAGCAGCACCTCAGAGGCTATCGATGCCCCTCGCTTGTCCCACTACGGCCCACACTGTGTCCGCCTCCACAGCAGAGGATGCGGGACAGGGCCGGAGACCGTGCTCGAACCGCCCCGGTTGGAATGGGGCCCCGAGGGGGGCTCCCTTCCCCGGCTGCGGGGTCAGGGCCACCGCCCCAGCTCGGCGGTGCCGACCCCCCGCCCTCGGCAGGGCCGGGGGCTCCGGGGCAGGGCAGGCAGCGCGGCCGGCCCAGGCGCGTGGCACGGCACGAGGGTGAGGCCTTTGCCCCCCGCCCCGACCCCCGGTTTCGGGGTACGCCCGCCACGCGGGGGCAGCTTACGGGGAGCCCTAGCGGCCTTCCCGCCAACCTCCAAAAGAAACCCCCCGTTCCCACCCAAAAAGTTGGGAGGCGAAATAACCCGAGCGAGCGGGCAGGGGCCGGGATGAGTGGGGGTGCAGCCGCGGAAAGCGTCGGGGTCGGGGGGGGGGGGGGGGGGGGAACCGCGGCCGCGTCCCGGGCGCCCCCGCCCCATCCCCGGGGCCGCCGAGGCGGGGCGGACGGCGGCGAAGAGTGGGGTGAGCGCCCTAAAAACGCCGCGAAACTTTCCAGGCCGCGGTCCCGCGCGCCCCGCGGGACCGGCACCGCCTCCGCCGCGGCGGCCCCGGACCGGGCCGGGGGAAGGGGCGCCCCCAGCCCCCGCCGCTCGTTAGAACTCATTTCGGGAAATTAATGCCGCCCCCGGCACCCCCGGTCCGTGCTCTCCCCCCCCCGCCCCCCTCGCCCCGCCGCGGTGTGGGGGCTGGAAGCGGCCCCTCCGCCGCCGCGCCCCGCCGCCTTCCCCCTGCCCGCGAGGCTGCGGCTCCGGCGGGGCTCGGCCCGCTGTGGGCCCGGGGCCCGGCGCGGGGGGCCCGGCGGGGCGGGGAGCGGAGCGGGCAGGCCGCGCCGCGCTGAGGCCTAGCGCCCCCCCGCCCCCGTTCTCCCCCACCGCCCTTCACCTCCCGGGCAAAGGCTCCGCAGCGCCGCGCCCCGACCCTCCCGCTGGGCCCCGGCGACCGTCTCACCCCCCTCCGGGGCTCCTCTCGGCGCCCGAAAGCCGCGAAACCCCGCCGGCTCCCCTCACCCCCCGCTGCGGCCTACGCCGCCCCGGCCGATCCCCGGCCTCGCGTAGCCCGCCTCTCCGCCCGCCCTGCTCCCTTCGCACCGCCTGCCGCGCTACGCGAGCCCGGGGATGCAGGCCGGGCCTGGCTTACCTTTCCAGCTGCTTTTTTTTTCTCCTCTCTCTCCTCTCCCCCCTTTCCCTCTGTTGGGCTGACAGATCAGAGTTTCCTCCCCGGCAGAGGGACTGGGAATGGGCTCGGGCTCTGTGCTGAGGAGCTGCTGCCCCCCTGGCTCTGAGGAGATCCTGCTTTTTGTGGGGAGGAAGCTTTGGGGGCTCTTTATTATTTTAAAACTACAAAGTGCTCAGAGGGTAGGTGATTATTAAGGGGAATCCCTGAATATATTCTCCAGCAAAGAAGGCAGGGCTGCTGGGGCTGCTCAAGAAGAGAGCCGGCAGCCTCCTACAGCACCACTACAGGCACCGAGAGGACATAACATCACAGAGCGGCTCCTCTGCCCTCCAAAACAACAACTTTCCTACCATCTTGGAGGTAGTAGAGGGAGAGAGGGAGGGGGAAAAAAGTACAGAAGGTTTTTATAAAGTGTCGATTTGGGGGAGGGAGCCGAATGGACAAAAGCAATTTTTTTTATTCGTGTATATGACTTATTATTTTGAATAAAAATAAAATACAAAGGTATGCGACTGAAGAAATAATTTTATTTATATCAAGTTAAGATCAGCTTTCTAGGAGAAAAAAAAAAAAAAAGAGGAGGTATGAAAAAAAATTATTTTGAATTTTTTTTCTTTTAAAAGTAAGAATTTTCTTTTTTTTTCCTATAATTTAGAAATGTGGCAACTTTTTATTTTTTTGTGATAGTTCTAAAAATTAACGTGCAATTCAGTGTAACGTGAAAGTCAGTGTAACTTTTTGTGGTGCTGCTACTGCCATAGAGCAACTGCGATTGATGCAGGATAGTTTGGCAGAACTGTATCATGACATCCTCTCTCTGAAGGCATTGTAAGTAAAACTGAATGTACAGGTAAGAAAAGAAAAGTTTTTTTTTTTTTTTTAAAAAAATATATATATATATAAATATATTAATATATCTATGTAGTAGAAAGGCGTATAGAAAAGCCATGGGAGGTTTAATGTGAGTGGAACCTGTGATAGATACCTGAAAAATTCTGCTAATCTGTCATAAATTCAGCATTGTCTGCCCCTCAGGAGGAGATGTGAAAAATAAAGCTCATAGAGGAAATTTGGAGGTAACAATTACGTTTTTGTTAATATTTTCAAAGCATATTGCAACTTTTAAAAAATCAGTTTGGGTTCTTCCTAAGTTGCTGTTTTCATCTGGGGGCTTTGTTTCTGATATTTATGAATACAATTATTCCTGATTTCTTGCGTGCAAAGTTGAGAAATGCTGTTAACTTATGCTACAGTACCCTGTAATACAGGATGGTCGTTGTGTTTTTCCTCCTTTCAGATGCTTTTATGAGATTGTTAAACATAGATAAAATGCTGTCACAACGATGTGAGATTTTACCGTGTGCATAGGTGAGGACGCTGATCATTGCATTGAGCAGACCTATCGTGTTTGCAATAGGGTTATATGCAGCCCAGCACAGGGAACTGCAGAGATGCCTATTTATTCCTCCTGGAGAAAGAGGAAATAATTAGGAAATTAATAAGCTATACATGGAAAAATACATTTACATTTTTTTCATTGTAAAAAATTATTCAGGTGGTGTAGCTAATTGAGCTGCAATCAGACTGAAGTCATATGAATGAGGGTATTGGGTTGTTTAGTGTGTTATTGCACCCTCCCTCTCCTCTGTCAAATCTGGAATACATTGAGTGTTACCTCTGTTACTGTAATTTTTTACTTAAATATATATTTTCCAAATACAGATATATTCCTTCATTCTCTTCTGAAAATACACTTTTTTAGTAGGCTGGCAAGCATAGTTTGTGTGTTCATCATTGCTTTTTCATTTAGATAAATTAGTTTGAATTAAAGTGTAATTAAAAGTCATTTGGTCTTTGGGTCAAACTGCATATTTTTTGTTTGGCTGGATTTTTTTTAAATGATGGTTATTCTAATTAGCATGCTTTAATAATGCAGCGTTGCATTCCGTGGAGTTACTGCAAAGGTGTTTTTTGCATCAGATTATTAATCCATTAAGTGCATTATTCAGCTCTGACATTAGGAAAATAATAATAATAATCAAATGCATTGCTCCTGTTTCACATTTGAAAAAAATGTATAAAAGTAATGGCATAATTAGGGTACTTTGTAATCTTACCAGTCATTATTGTGTCATTTGAAGCATGAAATATAATGATTATTTTGCGGGATATTTAAATAAAAATACTTTTATATTCTGCATCTAAAACTCACGGCAGGAATGACAGCGATTACAAATGTTGATCATAACTGGGATGATTTAAAAAAAAAAAATATCTTTGAAATACTACGAATAAATGCTCTGCTGTGGCAATGGATTCAGAACTGAAACAGATGCAGAACTAGCTAATATTTCCTTTTAGTCTAGATAAGTAATGGACCAAATTCTCAGACCAGTTTTTCAGATGCTTGCAGGCCTGGTTAATAATTCAGGGGTGTTTGAGAAATTGCTCCGTACTCACTTGCATGAAGCTCCAAAGTTGTTAGTTTTGCTGTAATACAGTATTTAAGTTTCTACACCAGGTGATTTCTTGTGTCTATGTGCTGTACAGAATTGCCACTTATAACTGGAAGTCAGGAGGTTAGTGTAATTCAAATGTAATTCAGGTTGGTTCTTTTCATCGCACTATTGAAAAATTGTTATAGAGAGGGAGGCATAATGCTAACAGCTGATCTGCACCGACTCTGTTGTGCTCTTGAGAATCCCCATACAGCAAGATGAGGGGTGTCTTAGTGCTTTCTGAAATGGGATGCAGATGATACAAATTAGAGAAAAGGCTGTGAAAGAAAGCACTTGAGAACCCGAGTACAGAAACAATGCTAAACCCTTTCTTTGGCTTACGTGCTTGACTTCACAGATACTGACTTTAATCGGATTACTTGCATGCCTAATGGTACCAAGGAACGTGGTTTAGTGGGCAGTGCTGGTGGACTGCATGATCTTAGAGGTCTTTTCCAGCCTTAATGATTCTATGATTAAACATGTATCACAGCAGCATGATAAGTTTTGGTGACATCCTAAGATCAGTTTGAATGGTCTTAACTGCAAAACCAGAAGCTAAAGAGAAACATTTTGAATCTAGTTTGGAATTGGAAAAGTGCAAAGGGACTTCATATAAGCAATACTTTGTTAGAAAATAAAGTGGAAAAATTAGTTACATCTTAGAAATGTGGACTGCCAGCTGTTATGTAATCATTCAACAGAGAAATGAATATCTCCATAATGTGGACAGTGGAATTTATTTAACAAAACTTTGTATCCCTGATTCAAAAGATTTTCTTTTTAGTTATTTACTAAAAAATGCCTATATTATTTTGCTCACAACAAAGCATTATGCTGTAACACTTCTTAGGAGCAAATTCTGCTAGCTTTAGTCATGCAGAATTGTTTATATATATGTAATACAGTTATGGATGAGACTCATAGCTTGGGAGTCATATCATTTTGATAAGAGCGGAGCTGTGCTCTGAAATGATTTTTGAGGAAAAATTCAATGGCCATGACTCCTGCACAAAGAAGGTGTATGAGCCCATAGCAAGAAACCACCCCGTGCAGAATGCAGATGGGAATTCTGTCCATTTCCTTGTTACAGAATAGGTCTGTGTGGCCAAAGCCCTGGACCAACCACCACTCCAGCCAGTAAATGTTTTGTATGGTTGAGCAGAGAGTGGTCAAAGAAAATTAATGTTCCCTAAATCACTACTTCCAAGTTAATGAGGCATACTTTGCTGATGCATCTTGCTGGTATTAATAGTGAGACAGAGGGCAGCAACAGAGTGAATAAGCTTTGTGAGTCTAATAAAAGAACTGAAATAGATGTTTTTGGTTATACACCAGTTATTGGAGGAGACTGCTTCCAAAGGCAAATTGTGACTCTCCCAAGGTCACATGGACTCCCAGGGCACCTTTGGATCATAACTGAAAACTGGATACGTGTTATGATAGTACTATGGGAGTATTCCCATAGGACATGCACATATCCTGAAGAAATACTTCTAAAGTCTTAAAATGCTTCAGAAAGTGATCAGCAAATTATTTAAGAAATACCTGTGAAGGGGAGGGACAACTCTATGCATGTAGATGTTTGTTAGAAATCTTTATACATAGAGCTCAATTGATGTATGAAATCTTTAGGCACTTAAACACTGAAAGGGGTGACAAAAAAAACTTCTAATAAGATCTCTAAGAGATTGAGCAGCATCTTCATGCAGTGTTGGTTTTTTTTTTTTTTTAACTGTGGTGAGTTCTAGGGTTGAGCTAACTATTAAAAACCAGCATATATTGAACAGTGCTCTTTTTTTTTTAAACAATTCTTTAACAGGGGCATTTTGTTTATTGCAGCAATTGTCTATGGAATGTCTCGATTCCCATTATCCTATACTGATACATATTGGGTAACTAGCAAAACACCAAGAATAAATGACTGTCTTTGTTTTTCTGAGTTTTAAGGTCCACAATAAAGCTTATAGGAGCAAGGGGAATTTTGCTGTGGATTTCAGTAGGAATAAGGCTGCAGAAGTATTTAACCAATTGGGAGCAGGCATATGCTAGCTTACTGCATGGTAATATAATAAATTGACAGTGAACCAAAAAATAGTAATTAACTCAGACTCTACTAACCTGTTCTTCATTATCAATGTGGATTTTAATCTGCATTGAATAAGTGTTATCTTCTTCTAAGTCTCAGCAAACACAAAACAGTAAGACAATTAATTGGGGGAAAGCTATCCCGGGTACATGACAGGCATCTGTGGAGACTTCTTTAAATAGAAGACAAATGAAATACACTGCCTCAGCAGAGTGCTCTAATACAGTCCTATTTTATTAGGGAGGCCACTGTTACTTGAAAGCATGCTATTGCACTTTTCCTTATCTATCCACTTGTGCCTAGTGATATTTTAGTAACTGTAATCATGGCTATTAAGAAGCTCCACACTTTATTACCAGACTTTCTTTCAATTACTATCTGCATTCAGGTTACAGTGGGTCTTGGTCATCACTGCAAATTAGAAAGGTAATTCCAAATCTAGACCAAATCAGTGATCTCTCAGTGTCCTGCACAACATGCTTCAAAAAAAGTACAGGACAGCCCATGATGGGTAGCACAGAAATAAACAGCACAATGTATGGGCATTGATCCCAAATCTTCACTTTTTGGGGAAATACCACAGATACTTCCTTCTCTACCTTGAGCTATACTTCAAAATACATGTTAAAATGAGACACTTAGAACTACTTTTACAAATGGCCCAGTTTTGTTGGCTCTTTTAAAGTCTTGCTGAAAGCACACCTCAGTTTGACTCAACTTTCCACTTGGGACCACGTTACCTGATTTTTTTTTTTTTTAAATCAAAGAATCTTACTGAATTGCCAGGATTTAAAGAGTGTCCCTCTGGAACATGGGCTGCCAATGCTTTAGAGTAATTGGATATTGAGTAGGAACTTTTTTTTTTAAAT